AATGAATCAGTCCAATCTCATCTCCCTATACTGAAGCCATAGTTGACAAGTCCCACTGCATGTGCACAAAGGTTCTCAATAACTTACAATGAATGTCGCAGTCTTCCATAATAGCAAACATCCAAGCTTCATCACACATTTCAGAAGGTCTATAACATGAAGTCCTGCCAGTACTAACAGAACAAAGCAACTTGGAACCAGAAACTATGCAAGGCCATTGGAAACTTGCCCCTCCAAATGAATGAGTGTATGAATGTCTCCGAGAGTTGAAAAAGAGATTGTATCCTTGAAAGAAAGAACAGTGTGCTGTTTAAAATTTTTTTAAAGAAGCCTTGAAAATTTAAAATATGGTAGAAGCCTGGGCGTAGTGGCTCGCACCTATAATCCCAGGACTTTGGAAGGCTGAGGAGGGAAGATCGCTTGAAGCCAGGAGTTTGAGACCAGCCTGAACAACATAGTGAGACCCTGTCTCTACAAAAATGTTAAAGTTAGCTGGGCATGGTAGCACATGCCTATAATCCCAGCTACTTGGGAAACTGAAGCAGAAAGATTGCTTGAGCCCAGGAATTTGAGGCGCAGTGAAATATGGTGCATCACCACACTCTAGCCTGGGCGAGAATGCAAGATCCTGTCTCAAAAAAATATATATACATATATTCAATAACCATACGTACATTTATGTGTATATATATGTATGTCTATATATTTATGTGTGTATATCTATATATATGTGTGTGATAGAAGAAATGAAAAACTTAATAGAAAGGATGGAAGATAAAATTGAAGCCATTGCTCAAAAAGTAGAGTTTAGCAGCCAGGCAGAGTGGCCCAAGCCGGTAATCCCAGCACTTTAGGAGCCCAAGGTGGGAGGATCACTTGAGACCAGCCTGGGCAACATAAGGAGACGCTGACTCTACAAAAAAATAAAAAATAAAAAATAAAAATAAAAAAGGCCGGGCGCACTGGCTCACGCCTGTAATCCCAGCACTTTGGGAGGCTGAGGCAGGCAGATCACGAGGTCAGGAGATCAAGACCATTATGGCTAACACGGTGAAACACCATCTCTACTAAAAATACAAAAAATTAGCCAGGAGTGGTGGCACGTGCCTGTAATCCCAGCTACTTGGGAGGCTGAGGCAGGAGAATCTCTTGAACTCAGGAGGCGGAGGTTGCAGTGAGCCCAGGTCGCACCACTGCACTCTAGCCTGGGTGACAGAGCATGACGCCATCTCAAAAAAAAAAATGGAGGTTTTTTTTTTTAATGGTGCTAGAAAATAAGAGAGAAATGTAGAAAATCAGGCAAAAAATCTATTAACTGAATTACAAACACCCTAGAAGAGAGAACTGAAAAATAAAGAGAAAATCGTCAAAAAATTTTTGATAAAATTTCTCAAAACTGAAGGTAATGAGTTTCTAGATTTAAAGCATCTGGTAAAGTACCCAACACAAGGATAAAAAAAAGTCCCACACCAAGGCACATCATTAGTGATGTTTCAGTGCACAAGAAGATGCTAAAAGTTCCAGAGGGGAGACAAAGAAACAGGTCACATACAAGGACAAAGAATCAGAAGGGCAACAATAGAAACAGACATAGAACAATGCCTTTAGAATCTGAAAGAAGATATTTTCAGCTTAGAATTCTGTGGCTACCCAAACATCTCACGTGTAAAGATAGAATAAAGATATTTTATGATATGTAAGGTCTTACAAAGTTTACTTCCTAAGCACCCCTTTTCAGAAACCTACTGGAAGAGGAAAGGTACTTCACTGAAACAAGGAGTAAACCAACAAAGAGGAAGACTGAGGTTCCAGTTTAAGTCAGGTATAGAGAATCTCCAGGATAATGAAGTGTGGTCCTATAATGTCAGCTATTCAGCAGATCCAGAGAGCAAACAGCTAGAAGATATATGCATAGGGATATTTTTGAAGGATGCACAAAAAACTATTAAGAATAGTTACCTTAGAAGTAAAAATGGGAGGGCAAAAAAAGGAGCACTTTTCCTTTTTCCTTTATATTTATATAATATTTGGATCCTTACTACAGCATGTATTATTTCTTTTGTTTTGTTTTGTTTGTAGCAACAGAGGTCTTGCTTTGTTGCCCAGGCTGGTCTTGAACACCTGGCTTCAAGGAGGAGTTTTGCACCCAGCCTTTTTTTTTTTTTTTGACAAAAGGTCTTGCTCTGTCACTCTTTAACTTTTTTATTTTTTTTCCAAGTCATTCAAATGTAATAGTGGGTTTTTGTTGTTGTTGTTTTTTAAAGAAAGAGGGCTGGGCGCAGTGGCTCACACCTGTAATCCCAGCACTTTGGAAGGCGGAGGCGGGTGGATCACTTGAGGACAGGAGTTGGAGACCGAGGTGGGTGGATCACTTGAGGCCAGGAGTTGGAGACCTGCCTGGCGAACATGGTGAAAAATACAAATAATTGCATACCTGTAATCCCAGCTACTCGGGAGGCTGAGGCACAAGAATCACTTGAACCTGGGAGGCGAAGGCTGCAATGAGCTGAGATTGTGCCACTGCCCTATAGCCCGGGTGACACAGTGAGACTGTCTCAAAAAGAAAGAAAGAAACTATGCTGTCTTCAAAGGAGCATCTCCACTGGAGATGCTTAACTTTCGTGTCATGACAACAGAATTTTCCTTTTCTTCAGAACTTGCAAAAGAATTTTGCTAGGAAGTATTTATATCCTCTAGCCAAGCTTCCTTGGTAATTCTAGGCTTACACTTCCTCACTACAGGAAAAGAACTTGGGAAGGAATGTCTTTTGAGCAAGGAGGACCCAAATGCTCTCCTAGAATATAAATCCCCCTCCCCCATTTCATTATTAAACTTTCCATAAATGTGGGGCAAAGGAAGGTTTCTTTTGGATTTCTGAGCTGCAGCAATCCTCTTTTTGCAAGGGTCCTTCCGTAAGAGCTTTCTTTGCCTCACAACCTTGATTACCAATAATTAATCTCAGATGAAAGATTCAGTGCTACAAGCTTCCTCTGTCTTGGACTTAGAGAACATGCTGAGAATTGTTTGCTTGCTTGCCAGAGATCTTATCTTGACCCAGAAGAGCTGATAGGACCATAAAATCAGCATTGATCTTTCCTCAGTATTCCTTCTCTACAAAGTGAGGGGGTACGACATCTTAGCCCAGGACAAATGTGAGATTTAACATATATCAGGAGGGGAAGCGGGGAGGAGGTTGATTGTCATTCAATAATGGCTATATTTCATAGTCGTAAAATTTAAAGAACTCTGTAGTGTGTTCTAATCCCCATGCTTTCTTTGCTCTTTCTCAATGTATTTGGATAAATCACTACAGAGCAACAAAGCCAAAATGTCCAAACCACCCACTTTCCTATTCCCAGCACATGAATTAGAGAGAGCCAACTGAGATCTGGGCCAACCACTTAGATGACTTGTATGTCTGATTTTTGTTCCATGATATGAAACTCAAAATAAATCAAAAAGAAAATTTTTTTCAGATACCAGCTAATTCACACAAAAAAAGTCTTCAGCCTTTTAGTCCTTGCACATATGCAAAGCTGATAAACAAACCTACTCTGAACACAGATAACAAGGATTTAGAAGTTAATTCCTACCGGCACAGCTACTCCTGTATAGCAGTCTTACTGAACTTCTGTGTTCAGTTTTAGGCTCTAAAACTTGAGTGAAATCTGAAGAAATTTTTAAGGTCCAAAAGGAATTGGAAAGACTTGGAAAACAGGACCTTTGAAGAAAGTTTATAGGAGACAGAATTTGAGCTTAGAAAACAATGCGTGTGATTGAAAAGAAACATGTGAATAGCAAACAAAGATAGAATAAGAGGAAATTAATATAAATGGTAGAGGAGGCTATTTAGTTTTGAGGTTAAGGGTAAACTTTCTGACGGAAACTTGTTAAGCCCAAAAATGAACAGCCAGGCCAGGCACGGTGGCTCACGCCTATAATCCCAGCACTTTGGGAGGCCGAGGCGGGTGGATCACTTGAGGTCAGGGGTTCGAGAGGAGCCTGGCCAACATGGTGAAACCCTGTCTCTACTTAAAAAAAAAAAAAAAGAGTAGCTGGGTGTGGTGGTGGGTGCCTGTAATCCCAGCTACTCTAGAGGCTGAAGCAGGAGAATTGCTTGAACCTGGGAAAAAGAGGTCGCAGCAAGCCGTAACTGCATTCCAGCCTGGGCGACGGAGCAAGACTCCGTCTCAAAAAAAAAAATAACAGCCAAAGGAATGTTGTAGAGCTCAAGCTACAAAGACATGGAGGTTGCAGTAAGTTCGCTTAGTGCATGAAATAGCATTCTTGGATACAGATGTTTACAGATAAAGATGTTTAACAGTAGTATCTCCCTAATACCACAAACGTGATATTCCAAGCAATTGGCAGAGAAATGAATCCATTCAGCACAAATTTGGCCCCTCTACATGGCCTCAGCACCTTAAATTTGGTTCACTTACCAGAAGACAGAATGTTCTGTTTAGAAGCAGGACCCGATCCCAGGATAGGGTGAACTGCATAAACGGAGGCGCAACGAGAAATGATAAAAGTCTAAGAGGTTCTAGAAAAGAGAAATCTTTTTCTGGGCCTCATTACCAGTTATAGACATTTTTAGAAAAGGAAGGGGAGAATAGATGCAGAACACATCTAAAAATGAACAAAGATATGGTAATTTTAAGAATGGAGGTTGTTTACAGGGAGAGGAAATTGGTTTGTATAACTGGATTGATCCAAAAATTACCTTGCCTTTATAATATACCTTTCTGTTAAGGAGATACAACGTTTTCTCTTGCCAGATAAAGACAGAGTCTCTTCCTTTTGTAAAAGAACATCACCAAATTACAAGGCAGTTTAAGTCACACTTTGAGTTGCTGGCAAACCCAGGATAAACCCCCAGGTTTTCTCCTTTTGGCTAGCCTAAATACTGGTACAGAGTCATTCTTGCATCAATGTGAAACATTTATTTTTTGTCTGGGCTTCTGTTTTAACCACTAACCTTCATCTCTCCTGTCCTGTAGCTGGGATGAAAGCAGCTCCATCAGCAGTGGACTCAGCGATGCCTCAGACAATCTCAGTTCAGAAGAATTCAATGCTAGCTCCTCACTCAACTCCCTCCCAACTACTCCCACTGCTTCTCGCAGGAACTCAACAATAGTGGTACGTGAGTTTGCAAACATCCAAACTGCCATCTCAAGATGAACCACAGGGCAAACGGCATTGTCTGTGTATGGGGTTGCACATACACACTCACTCCAAGGGATTGGTTCTCATAGGGCTTTGGCCAGGTCATTTTAGAGCTGCCCCCACCCTCTCCCCCAAAAAAAGCTAAGGCTACTCACAAGACATCAGATGTTGTCATATTGTCTATACTTAGTGCCTACACCAATCTAGAGTGATACATGTAAGAGCTATTCCAACTGGAGAAGAAAAAGAAACCCAGAGATACATGCCATCTGTTGTTGGAAACCCTAGGGGTATAGGTAGAAACCCTCAGTTGACGTAATACTCTGGGATGAGCAGAGCCAGGTACTAACTAAAATCAATCCTGTCAGCTATCCAGTCCCCCATTTGCATATAAATATCTCACCCTGCCTTTTTCTCTTTTCTTTAGCTACGCACAGACTCAGAGAAGCGCTCACTGGCAGAAAGTGGGCTGAGCTGGTTTAGTGAGTCAGAGGAGAAGGCCCCTAAAAAACTGGAGTACGACAGTGGTAGCCTGAAGATGGAACCTGGGACTTCTAAGTGGCGGAGGGAGCGGCCTGAGAGCTGTGATGATTCATCCAAGGGTGGAGAACTGAAAAAGCCCATCAGCCTGGGACACCCTGGTTCCCTGAAGAAGGGCAAGACCCCACCTGTGGCTGTAACTTCCCCCATCACTCACACTGCCCAGAGTGCCCTCAAAGTCGCAGGTGAGCCTGGGATAAAGGAAGGTACAAGGGCAAAGACCTAGTTCTTTGGTTGCTCCTCTTCTTAGTGGTCATTAACCCATAGGTTGATAGCAAACATGTGCATAGTGCTTTAACATACATTATCTTATCTGGTCTAAAAACAGTCCTGTGAGTTAGGAAAGATGGGTGTTGTTATTTCCATTTTACAAATGTGGAAGAAACAGAAACTCAAAGAGGTTAAGTGACTGGGCCAAAATCCCAATTAATATGAGGTGCAGGAGGGAGTATATTATGTTTAGAGACTAGTTTGACCTCCTTCCAAACACTTCCAATGCTTTCTTCTTTCTCCCAAGTTAGTCACTCGAGGTACTTATCTTCATAAGATATTGCTTGACATCTCAGGAAGATCCTAAGAAAACAATAAATAAAGTGGCTACAGCAAGAGAGTTATAGTGCCCCAAAGTTGGCCCCTTGGGTAACTTTTAGCCTTAATCAACATTTTCCTCAAGTCTCTAATTACCAAGAGATACTGTCACACTCTATTCCATTTGCTTCTCCTCCTTTTTTTTTTTCCCCTTCCACAACCAGTTGTTAGATGGATATTCTTGATCATCTTTGTGTTTGCCTCTGCCATTTTATTCAAAATGGACCATTCTACTCTGGGAGCAAAACAAAAAAAAATTCCTAGCCTCCCCACACCTCCCAGCCAGAGTCTTTCAGACAAGAAACTTTATCAGCTTATCTTGTACCTGTTTACCCATATTTAGGCCTCTAAAATTCTACAATGTTCCCTTCACCCATGGAGGGAAAGAAAAGGATGGTTTTTTAAGATACTGCTCAGTTTCAGCTTTTATCTCATTTCCTGTCCTCTTGCAGGCAAACCTGAGGGCAAAGCTACAGACAAGGGTAAGCTTGCAGTGAAGAATACTGGGCTCCAACGCTCCTCCTCTGATGCTGGTCGGGACCGCCTGAGTGATGCTAAGAAGCCCCCCTCAGGCATTGCTCGCCCCGCCACTTCGGGATCCTTTGGCTACAAGAAGCCTCCTCCTGCCACAGGCACAGCCACCGTCATGCAAACCGGTGGTTCAGCCACTCTCAGCAAGATCCAGAAGTCCTCAGGCATCCCTGTCAAGCCAGTAAATGGGCGCAAGACTAGCTTAGATGTGTCCAACAGTGCAGAGCCAGGATTCCTGGCTCCTGGAGCCCGTTCTAACATCCAGTACCGCAGTCTGCCCCGGCCAGCCAAATCCAGTTCTATGAGCGTGACCGGCGGGCGGGGTGGACCTCGCCCTGTGAGCAGCAGCATTGACCCCAGCCTCCTCAGCACCAAGCAGGGAGGCCTTACACCTTCCAGACTGAAGGAGCCTACCAAGGTAGCCAGTGGGCGGACCACTCCAGCCCCTGTCAATCAGACAGATCGGGAAAAGGAGAAGGCCAAAGCCAAGGCAGTGGCCTTGGACTCAGACAACATCTCCTTGAAGAGTATTGGCTCCCCAGAAAGTACTCCCAAGAACCAAGCAAGCCACCCCACAGCCACCAAGCTGGCAGAGCTGCCACCAACCCCTCTCAGGTACCCAATGCGGGCAATTGCCTCCTTGTCTGTTTGCTTTGTCATTCTTTTGCATATCTCTGCCCTCCTTGGACTAGATGAAGCATGGCCTATCCACCATTGTCTCTAGGCCTTTGCATGGCTCTTTCCCACCTCTCCCCTGTATGCCATGGTTCTGAAAGAATCTTGTTTCTGAAAGTTCTGAAAGACTGAATCCCTCTTTCAAAACTGTATTCAAAACTTAGCTCATTTGTACTATTCTCTGATCAACCCTTACCATGTCTTCAGCACTTGTATGGGTGATTTTACTGTTTATTTACACATATATACCTATTTGCATAAATTCACTTGTATCTCCCATGTGCATATGCTGGCCCCATTATCTAAGCTGAATGTGCCCCAAGTTGTGCCCCAAGTCAGATTTCCTTGCATTGTATTTCACAACAGCATTAGGATAAGTCTCTGTGCTTAGCAAATAGGCAGAAAACAAGACTGGATAGGATTTCTTTAAGGTCCTATCTGCCTCTCAGTCTGTAATTCTGTTATTCTAAATATTTTGTTTGATCTTCTCTCAGGGCCACAGCGAAGAGCTTTGTCAAACCACCCTCACTAGCCAATCTTGACAAAGTCAACTCCAATAGTCTGGATCTACCATCATCCAGTGATACCACCCATGCTTCAAAGGTCCCAGATCTGCATGCTACAAGCTCAGCATCCGGGGGCCCTCTCCCTTCCTGCTTCACCCCCAGTCCAGCACCCATCCTCAATATTAACTCAGCCAGCTTCTCCCAGGGCCTGGAGCTAATGAGTGGTTTCAGTGTGCCAAAAGAGACTCGCATGTACCCCAAACTCTCAGGCCTGCACAGGAGCATGGAGTCCCTCCAGATGCCAATGAGCCTGCCCAGTGCCTTCCCCAGCAGTACTCCCGTCCCCACCCCACCTGCTCCCCCTGCTGCTCCCCCAGAGGAAGAGACGGAAGAGCTGACTTGGAGTGGAAGCCCCAGAGCTGGGCAACTGGACAGGTAGGTAGACAAGACAGCAGAACCTCAACCTGTCTCCGTGTCTTGAGCTCATTTTGCCATTGGCAATACTATCCTATATTTTATTGCCATTGTGTGACTTTTGACATTTTTTCCACATATATTAAGTAATTAAATTTGCTTCACAACAACTCTATGAGATAGGTAAGATGTATTTTTGTTTTTAAATTATTATTATTATATTACAGATGGAGAAACTTGTGCACAAAGAAGTTAAATGACTTATCCAAGATCTCATAATCAGGTTAATCTATCATCCAGAGCTTTTGCTTCCTAGTCCAAAATCTTTTTTTTTTTTTTGAGATGAAGTTTCATCTCAAAAGTTAGTTAGAATATCCATCTAATAACTGGTTGTGGAAGGGAAAAAAAAAAAGGAGGGGAAGTTTCATCTTGTTGCTCAGGCTGGAGTGCAACGGTACAGTCTTAGCTCACTGAAATCTCTGCCTCACAGGTTCAAGCAATTCTCCTGCCTCAGCCTCCCAAGTAGCTGGGATTACAGGCACTTGCCACCATGCCTGGCTAATTTTTGTATTTTTAGTGGAGACCAGGTTTCACCATGTTGGCCAGGCTAGTCTTGAACTCCTGACCTCAAGTGATCCGCCTACCTCGGCCTCTCAAAGTACTGGGATTATAGGCGTGAGCCACCGCGCCTGGCTGCCCAAAATATTTTCTTTTATTTCACATCCTAGTTTTCTCCTCCCTTCCCCCTACATGCCAAGGTTATCAAACTACCTATATGGTAGTTTTTACCTACCATAATATGATCTATTTTTTTGTTTTTGAGATGGGGTCTCACTGTGTTGCCCAGACTGGACTCAAAACCCCTTGGCTTAAGCAATCCTCCTGCCTCAGCCTCCTGAGAGCTGCGACTACGCCATAATATGATCTTTTAAATAGCTAACCATGCCTTAATTTCTAATCGGAGAAAAAGCATTTAATATTTCAGATAAATTTCCCAAGTTGTAAGCCAAGAAGCAGGCTATAGCTATCTCTTGGTTTCTAGAGCTAAAGGGAGTCATAGTTTGATGTCCTGCGTCTAGGGTCTGCATACCTCACAGCAGTGGTCCTAAACTCTAGTTCCTAAGATGGACCCACATGCTTCTCTCTCTTTCTCTTTTTTTTATCTCCACAGTAACCAGCGAGATCGGAACACTCTTCCCAAGAAAGGGCTCAGGTAACCCTTTAATGTGTTTTTTCTTCCCTATAAATGGGACTCCTGGTATGTATGAAAAATCATATCTCAACCTGTCCCAGGCTCCAGTCATGAATTTAGTCACCCTTTTAGCTGAATCATTTGTATGTGGTCCCATACAAGTACCACCTAGCACCCTGCCCAAGCTTAACATTATGTGAGTCAACTTTTACAGTGAGTGTTCTTTTTTTGGTGACAGGGGAGAAACAAGTCTGCACATGGGAGTCATGCACTTACCTGTACTAGCCTATGCCATCCCAATCCTGGCTGAGCTTCATCTCTGTAATTTTCCTCCCTAAAAGTATGAGAGAGAACAGCCTGCCTCTTTGGTCACTCAGCTGGGCTAGGGGCAGGACCTACCTGGTCATCCATTGTTCTGACAGCATTGAGTTGTTATTTGGGTGGCAACTATTGCAACTTTTTTTTTTTTTTAAGACAGTCTCACTCTGTCACCCAGGCTGGAGTACAGTGGCACAATCTCAGCTCACTGCAACCTCCACTTCCCAGATTCAAGTGATTCTCCTGCCTCAGCCTCCCAAGTAGGTGGGGTTACAGCTGTGCACAACCGTGCCCGGCTAATTTTTGTATTTTTAGTAGAGATGGGGGTTTCACCATGTTGGCCAGGCTGGTCTTGAACTCCTGACCTCAAGTGATCCACCCATCTCAGCCTCCCAAAGTGCTGGGATTACAGGCGTGAGCCACTGTGCCTGACCGACTCTTGCAACTTGAAAGCCCACACGTGGAATCATAAGACTCTGTCCTGAACTTCTGAGAAGTTCTAATGCCTCCTCCATCATTTCTGCCCCCACCTCAGGAACCCTCACGGGAATACCTGCTAAGCCTTCCACACCCTCTGGATGGTCTGGGAGAGGAGGCTGAGTTGCCACCTCTTCCTCCCTCCTTGAGCAGCCCTGACCCCTTTCTCTTTTCCGTGTCCTGCTTTCAGAATCTCCTGGCTCCAGCCTAGTTCAGACACCCTCCGCACCAACTAAACCTCTGACCGCACTTGCTAGTCCCAGATTGAATACTTCTGCTGCCTCCTACAGGTACCAGCTTCAGTCCCAGGAGGAGACCAAGGAGAGGCGACATTCCCATACCATTGGTGGGCTGCCTGAATCCGATGACCAGTCAGAGCTGCCTTCTCCCCCTGCACTTCCCATGTCTTTGAGTGCAAAGGGCCAACTTACCAACATAGGTTAGTGTTTTCAGTCACTCACTGTGGCATGGTGTGAAGCAGGGGCCACCTTGCAGGGTGAGGCAAGGCAGGTGGGCTTTGGGTTTTATCTCATATTTGACTCATGCTCTATTGGGTTGTTTCATGGTGCCTCAGTTTATCCACCCTAAGTAAGACTGAAGGTAGAGTACTTCAAGATCCTAAACTGAAAAGTTGCCCGTGGGCACAAGTTGTAGGATCCTTTTAGCATCAGAGAGCCTGAATGGTGGCATGGAAAAGCTGTAACCCAAAGCCCAGAGATCAAACCAGTGCAAGAGCAGGCATATTGAACTGCCAGAAAGGAGCCACCACACCCAGTGCTCCTAGGGCCAGCTAATGAGAGGGCAACACTGAAATGTCAGGCCGATGGGGAGGAAGGAGGGAAAGGTTGTTGATTGCCAAGGACAAGATCTGCCTCCAAACTCAGCCAAGTCCAGATTCCTCAACTGCTCTGGCTGAGCCCAGTCCATCCTAACCCTGAAGGCAGGGCTGACTAAGATGTGTCCTGGCCACACCCTTCCTAAAGCCTAGGGAGAAAGGAGAGCTAGGAAATAAGGAAGTGACTTGGAGGCAGGGAGGAGAGGAAGCCTCATACAGTCTGGCCTAGCACAGAAGCACACCAGCCCCAGTTCTGGGAAGCAGTACGCCATGATTGACCTACTAGGAACCCATTCAGGAACAGTGCCTGGGATAGGCCTGTTATCTGCTTGCTGCATCTCTTTAAATCCATCTCTTCTTTCAGCTGAGTAAAAGAAATCAGTTAATAAAAGACAAGGACCTGTAACACACCCATGCAATGACTGTGGGGAATTTGAGGAAAGACTAGGAATTGGGATCACTTGGCCTAGGGAAAAGAACCATTCTTCAGACAGGATCATCTGGCCTCTGAAGGGCTACTACATGGAAGATGGGGCCAGCTTTTTCTCTATCTCCATTGAAGACCAAATAAGAAGAATTGCATTTGTGCTGTAGAATGAGGGGCTGGGCTAAGCAATAATTACCTTAGGAATTTGAAAAAGTCAACAGAGAGGTGTGCCATCTTCTTCTGCACAGGTCTTTATGGACAGATTAGACATCCACCTGCCTGTATGGAGGCAGAAGAATAGACAAGGGAGCTCCTTGTAGGTATGAAACCCTGAAAGGCTGTAATCCCAACAAGGGGCAAAGGGGTAAGGCATCTTCAGGTTAACAGGATTCAGCTGAGCCCAGCTTCAAAGCACATTCCACAAGCCTTACCTGACACTTTCACCTGCTCTGTCCATCTGACCTTCAAGCCGGGGCAATGCTAGGCAAAGAGGGCCATGTTTCTTGATGCTTTAGAGCCAACCCAGTCACTTAGAGTGACACTACTTTGTGGGGAGATTCTCATGCCCTTCCACAGTGCCGAGGCCACTGAATCCTGTAGCCCAGCCCCCTTCTCTAGCTGGTTCTTTTTCATCATTCAGATCTGGCTCTTGGTTTGAATTTTCAGTCCTCCTGAGCTGGCAGTTTTGTTTTAGAGAACCACAGCATCTCATTTTCATCAGCACATCCGAGTGATGTGAAGGTCTCGGAAAAGCTGCCAGGCCCCCAGCCTAACCTTCAAAAGCAACAACTCTGAGGCAGGCAGGGTTGAGGGAAGGTCTTTATTCCAGACAGCAGGGTCCTTCTCCATTAGGGCTTGATCTCCCCAGGAGGGACCCCGCTCCTAACCACCAGCTGCTTGCACACTCCCACCACTGCACCTGCCCCTTCCTCTCCTGCCCTCTCCCCATTTGCCTCTCATGCTCCCGGTGCTCCATCCCCCAAGGGCCCGGAGAGCTGATGACCCTGCCTCTTTTCCTGCCCTCCTGCTCCCTCTCCTATCCCCCTTCCCTCTGTCCTTCCAGTGAGTCCCACTGCGGCCACCACGCCAAGAATCACCCGCTCCAACAGCATCCCCACCCACGAGGCGGCCTTCGAGCTGTACAGCGGCTCCCAAATGGGGAGCACCCTGTCCCTGGCCGAGAGACCCAAGGGAATGATTCGGTCAGGATCCTTCCGAGACCCCACGGATGATGGTGAGACTTCATGCCAGCGCGGTTCACGCTCATTCCAGCTCTGCTGGGTCCCCTCACCCACCACCTCCACTCCCACCACTCCCACCACCACACACACACATATGATTCACAGAACATCAAGTTGGGCCATTTCAGTTTTTTCTCCCCATCCCTTTGAAGGGTCTGGGGGCCCAGAAACCTTGGGTGGCACACCTAGCACTGGGGCATTGGGATGGAGCATCCATCACTGGGGCTGGGGGAGGGAAATTGAGCATGGAAGGGTTAAATGGCACGCCTCAGGATGCTCTGAAAACCACAGCTTCTCTCCTCCTCATTCTAGCCATAGTCTTTCCTCCCCACAGTCTCTCAAATATATGAAAAGAAAACAGGACATAATAGTAGCTCTTAATAAATCCTTACAAATAATTAGGCATCTCATTCCTCTTTCAAAAATGTTCCAAAGATGAGCACCAGGGAGGGCCATCTGATTGTTGGTGGTGATCTGGGTGTTACTATTGATCAGAGCTAGAAGACCAGGCTTATGGCAGCTTAGATCTCCCATTATTATTTTCAAGATGGTCATTCCAGGAGGCATCTGCTGCAGACATGCTTTAGTTCTCACCGTAGGTTCTACTGAATAATCAGAATGACTATTCCTCACTTAAATATTGTTTTCATCTGAATGATCCCCAAGATCCTAAGTACATCCCCCAGTACTGAGAGGAGGAGGCGCGGGCAGAATTGCAGTATTTGTTCTGAGCAAATCTGATGAGAAACTCCCCTCTCCTGCGGCTAAAGTGCTTTCCTGACTGGGAAGATAAGATGATGACTATCCATGAAAGTCTCCTTTCCCTTCTCTGAAACCCTGTGCCCCTCAGAGCAGACTGAGCAAGGGACTGACATACCCAGGCTGCCAGAGAATGTAGGCTGAAAGAGGAGGCTAGCTCGACTCAAGACCTTGCTTTGGGCTCTTTTGATGCCAGTTGGGTTCCCTACTCTGTTCTTTCTGTTTGCTCCAGATGCCCTCCAGAATCATAATCCAAAGTCTTGCCTCAGGGGGTCTTCCAAAAACCCCTTGTCCCTGGAACCCACTGTTAACTCTTTGTGTTCTCCTTCTCTTTCAGTTCACGGCTCAGTGCTGTCCCTGGCCTCCAGTGCCTCCTCCACCTACTCCTCAGTAAGAGCATTAACTTCTCTTCCGCTCTCATCCCCTCTCCTCTACCATCCCATGCTCCCTAGAACCTCCTTGGAGTTGGATAACTGGGCGGGGAATGGGGGCACTGCTCTCTCTTCACTGTACCCATTGGGGTGGGAGTGGGGGAGGCACCTAGAGCTTGTAGCACTGACTTGGGTGCCTCAGGACCTCCATGGTCTTTCTGACCCCACCACCAGCTCCTGAGCAAGTCTGGTGATTTTTGTTGCCCTCCTTTGAAAAATGGAGAATCCCCATGTTAGCAAGCCCTTTCTGTGCCATGGTAGATGGGAAGCATGTATGGCAAGGTGAGATGAATAGGTTTCTAGGACCCAGACTCCAGAACCCTAGAAGTGACCAAGTGTTTATTGTGGGGCGCCAGCCACAGCATTTGGCTATTAGGCATTTCTTGATTCATAGATTTATTTTGCCCCTAATTCTTTACTCCAAGTTGCTGGCAATAACTGTTAGTTCTCAAACCGACCAAAGTCTCATTTCCTAGCCTTTTTGGCAATGACAAAGTTTGCTGGAGATGAGCTCCAAATAAATCTTTTATTGAAACCCTAGTATAGATCTGAGCCGAGTCCTGTGAGGAGCCAGGGCCAGGAAACAAGAGTTTCAGCCTCTCTGCACCTCTGAGTCATGCTTCTTCACATTTCCTACCCTGCCACCGGGACCTGACTTCTTCACCTCCATAGTAACTACTTCCTTTCTCTCTCTTTCTCTCCTTCTGTGCTCCCTTCTTCAGGCTGAGGAGAGGATGCAATCTGAGGTAGGGTGCAAAGCCTTTGTCTCTGCTTGTTAACATCACTGCACCCCATTTTCCTTCCAAATCTTATACAGCTTCTGTAGCCAGTAGTTTGTGTTTCTCTTCCTTTTACAGCAAATCCGGAAGCTTCGTAGGGAACTGGAATCATCCCAGGAAAAAGTGGCCACCTTGACGTCTCAGCTTTCTGCCAATGTGAGTGCCATGAAGTAGGGAAAGATCAAGGCAGTTATTCTGACCATAGTTAGACAAGTTCAGCCAAGGGAGGAAAATTACCTGGTAAGGTATCACCTGGACTGAGACTTCAAGGGCATGGGTCTTCTTCACAGCTTTACGATAGAAGACTAGGGGATTGTTCTTCCCCTTCTCTGAGGCTCAACTTTTATGAAGAACCATTTTGCTTCCACTCTAATTAATAGGTATGGATGAGTTCATGTCTGATGGGCTGAGCTCCCTAGAGAAAGCGAAGAAGATTGATTATCCGTGGTTCTGCATGGAGGCAGAAACAACCTTGCCATTGGTCATGGACAAAAGCAGTTATGGATTATAATTATAGGGCTCTTAGAGCCTTTCCACTGCCCTGGGGGGTGTTCATGTCTTTGTTCATGCCACATAACTGTGCAGGCACATAATTGGTCATTAGAATTCTGTCTGGTGACCACGACACTACTGAGAAACCTAACTCCCATTCTGGTCTGACTCCTTCATTCCCAACTGCCTTTTCTGAGTAGTCTCCTTGGGCAGATGGTAGAAACAATCTGAGGTTCAGGTTGAGAGCTAGAATTCTTTGTTTCTACCCTCAGTACCTCTGTTTAGAATGAGTCTATTTCTTTAGGCCTTAGTTTTTCTACCCTGTGACATGGGGAGAAATGAAGCCGCCTCCTCTAACCAGGCTGTGGTAGTTTCTCCCCTGTGACTGAGTTGCAAACAGAGAACATAAGAGCCATTTTCCCCCAAAGCTGTAAACAACAGCTGAGCCGGATCTGCAGGAGCTTTCCAAGTGTTTGCACAAAAGTAACCATGTCTGCAATTTCCGCAGTAGTTTCTGGTTTTCTCTCTGCCCTTCCTCTCTGGGGAACCCAGCTGTCAGGCCTGGGGTCTATCCCTCAGAATTAGGTAGAAGAATCTCCACCAAGATTCTGAATGTTTCCAACACATTTCAGCAGCAGTTCCCTCGCCACACTAGTTATTCTCTTGATTCTCTTTTCCCAAACCCTCAATTCATAGGTTGTACCAGTTTGTTTGAAGCTCATGTTAAGCACTCTTTCCCACTCTTGGGGGACCCATAAGAATTGTAACATAAACAAGAACCATCTTTTCTCTCCCTTGTGCCACACCCACCAAAGCAAAAGGCCTGGGTCACGTCCTGCACACCCCAGGAAATTCATGTCTGGGAGATGCTGGGGGGGAGAGGCGCCAGGGAGGCAGAGAACATTATTATGTCTGATTCATTTACACTGCAATCTGTCAGCCACCATGCTGTCAAGGCTGGGCTGGAGCCAAGAAATTGAATTTAGAGGGTGATTTTTCTTAGAACAGGAAGTTCCATTTGGCTAAGAGAACAAACTAAACACCCAGACATGGTGGGTTCTGCATCTTAAAGGCAGATTTTTGCTGAGGGTCAGAACCCCGCCCTCAAGCAGGAGATGGGATGCTGGGACTCTAGGAAGGTTCCACAGCTCTCTTCAGGATTCCCTAACTACAAACCAAACTTCTGTCATGTTCCATGGAACTTCCTAGCTACTGAAGCTGAGGGCACATCCTAGACGGAGGGTCCCAGACCACTTTACCCCTCTCAAATGCTAGCCTTTCTGCAGCACCACTGCTTAGCCCTGAGGTCTTACAGGTACCCTAGTCTGGGGTTGAGATTAGGGGAAGGGTCAACGTAGGGAGAGGAAGTGTAGGGGAGAGGGGGGAGGAAGCCCAGCCAGAGCAAAAGGGGTCCCCTGGATGGGGAAAGGCAACACAGAAAAGCATACAGGGGTTCTTGGGGCCTCTCGTGAGTAGTCTTCCAGGGACTACAAGGAGTCTACAAGCAGACACACAGGGATGTAGAGAAGCAAACCAGAGAAGACCTGAGGTCAAGAAGACAGATGTTCCCTGCACAGTGGGTGAAAGGAAACTGCGCAGGTCGTGACATATTATAATCTCCTCAGAGCCCAGGTCTTGACAGATTTATAGTAAAAGTGCAAGAGGAGGCTCTAACGGTACCAAAGGGATTGCCTCTAGCCCTGGTCCTGTGAAGTAGGCTCCGAACATGTGGGGCAGTAGATGAAAACTAGAGTTGACCCAACAGGGAGGGAGAATTGTAAGCCAGCAGGAGTCGTGAGAGTGCCACCAATTTCCTAGAGCTCTGCATGAAGGAGCTGCCCAGAGTATGCCCACTTCTTGCTAGGGTCACCAACTTGCTCAGATAGTCTCAGGATGGCTATTTCTCCATCCCCAAGTGCTCCCCTTTCTAGCCCCCGGCCTCATTCCCTTCACCTTGCCTATACATCTTGCAGCCAGTTGGCCAACTAGAGGTCATACTATGCCAAACCAAGTGGCCTTAGCTCCTCCACTCAGCACCTTTCGGAACTAGCCTGCCTCTTACCTAGAGAGCCCTTTGGTATCCTTCACTCCTCATGAAACAGACCTGACACCTAGTGGCCAAATGGTGGAATGCCCCTGCAGTTTCCTTCCAGCCCTGTAAACCCGGAGAATCTGGGAACAAGGAGCAGATGCAAAGCAAGAAAGGGTGAAGCAGTGAAGTAGCAGAGGAGGAAGAGATGCACCAAATAATTTCTGCCAGGAGATTATTTGGCATGGGGGTCGGCCCACTCCACAATGCAGGAGTTAAACCAAAATAATAGGAACGACCCCAGAGGCTATGGCCTGCCTACCAAGTTGGCCACACCAAATATCACATAGAGCAGAGGGATAGTCCTACCTCTGGTAGATGATGGGTTTTAGATCTCAAGTCTCCAAGAGCCTCCAAAAACCTGCCCTACCCTCAACCTGGCTTCATTATTCGAGAAGCTAATTCACACCAGAAAATGTCTTTGATTTCCCCTTTGTCTGCTCAGGGAAGTCAATATTTTTTAACCACCAAGAGGCTTGCCAGCACTGGTCAGCTCTGAGATATAGGAAATCAGTTAAAACTATTTCCCATTGTCAGTCATTGCCTCTCACCCAGCCTTATGCAACTTAGCAATCTCTTTTTGTGTTTGTTTCAGGCTAATCTAGTGGCTGCTTTCGAGCAGAGCCTGGTGAATATGACATCCCGCCTGCGACACCTGGCAGAGACGGCCGAGGAGAAGGTGAGAGGCCTGGGAACGGGAGGGAGGGAGGGGTGGGTGCGGTGAGGGGGTTCTCCTGGACAGAGAGGCTGAGGCTGACCTCTTCTTGCTCATGGCTGCCAGTTTCTCCCCACCTCACTATCACCCTGGATTCTCAATCTGCCCCCAATACAGTGTGAGCATATTCCTTATCCCAATTCCCTGCCCTTCTCTGTAAGTTTCGTAGAATTCCAATGCCTCACCCATTGCCTGACACACCATAAGGGCTCCTGCTACTCCCAACTAATGATGCTGTTTTCTTTTTTTTTTTTTTTTAAGACGGAGTTTCGTTCTTGTCACCCAGGCTGGAGTGCACTGGTGCGATCTTGGCTCACTGCAACCTCTGCCTCCCGGGTTTAAGCGATTCTCCTGCTTCAGCCCCACAAGTAGCTGGGATTACAGGTGCCTGCCACCACGCCCAGCTAATTTTTGTATTTTTAGTGGAGACTAGGTTTCACTATGTTGGCCAGGCTGGTCTTGAACTCCTGACATCAGGTGATCCACCCACCTCGGCCTCCCAAAGTGCTGGAATTATAGGTGTGAGCCACCGTGCCCAGCCAACGCTGTTTTCATTTCTCTCTTAGGACACTGAGCTGCTGGATTTGCGAGAAACCATAGACTTTCTGAAGAAAAAGAACTCTGAGGCCCAGGCAGTCATTCAGGGAGCCCTTAATGCTTCAGAAACCACACCCAAAGGTAGGACATCCAGCCACAGATTGAGAGGGAACAGGGGTGGCAGGAAAGGAAGAGTATTACAGATTTTTATCTGGGCCTATAGTATTCCAGGTCCTATATCAAATCTCTAGAAGGTGAGGGCCTTTAGATACCCTTTAGTGTGATGTCTGGACTGGTCAGTGAGGAGTACCAGGGGCATGACCCCAGCTTCCCAAGGGATGAAGGCCAGTAGAGGAGACCTGTAAGCCCCAGGGGTCCTCTACTTAACCTTTATGTCAGGGCCAAAGAGCCATCAAAGCCCGTCATTAAAATAGCCCTTAACATTTTTATGCAAATGTCTTGTGTGTCCACACACATGCACATAGATACACACACACACAATCTAATTTGATCCTCACTTTAGTTCTCCAAGGGAGATGCAGTCTACTCTTCCAATGAAACAACTAAAGTTCACGTAGGTTATATGGTGCTGAAATGGCAAGTTAGCCTGGATGTTTAGTCACCAGTCAAGCTTTGCTACGGAAGTCAAGATGGATGGGAGTCTGATGCCACAAAAATCTGTGGTCTCTAACTCCAATCAGGTCTTATAAGATACCTTGGCAGTTCTCTTACTTGTCCACAGTCAGTTTTCTTTTTTATTCCACTATCAGTGATTCCCAGCTTTCATTGATTTTTTCAAGCTCCTCATTTCCCCACTGACTTGCCTTACTCTGAACATAGCCTTGGCCCCCTCTTTAGTTAAGAAAATGAACATTTTCAAGAGAGAACTCCATTTACTCTTCCCCACTGCATGTGTTTATATTCATCCAATACTTATTTGTTTGTCTCCATTTTGTTGGAAGGATCCATCCCTTCTGGCCAAGAGTGACCACTTATCTAATGTTTTGGGATGCCCTTTTTAGCAACCATACAGCCCCCCTCCACGCCACACATGCCCTTTTCTACCTCTCTGATCTCTTAGGCTCTATTCATTCCTTCTCTGCTTATAAACCTGCCAAAGGCTCTTGTATCTTAAAGGGGAAGGATGTATCAATCTCTGTTCTAACTATAATCTTATTTCTTTCCTTCCTCCAGTCGATCCTACCTTTCCACCTCCCTTTCACACTTAACCCCACTATAATTACGCTTCTGTTACCATCATTCTACCAAAAACACTTTCACTAACATCACCAGTGACTCCCATTTTTCCAAAATCCAACTTACAAGTTTTAGTACTTATTTTACTTTTTTTTTTTTTTTTTGAGTCAGAGTCTCACTCTGTTGCCCAGGCTGGAGTGCAGTGGCGCGATCTCAGCTCACCACAACCCCTGCCTCCCGGGTTCAAGCAATTCTCCTGCCTCAGCCTCCCGAGTAGCTGGGACTACAGGTGCGTGCCACCACGCATGGGCTAATTTTTGTATTTTTAGTAGAGAGTGGGGTTTCACCATGTTAGCAAAGTGGTTTCAAGACTCATCCATGTGGGGCGTGGTGGCTCACGCCTGTAATCCCAGCACTTTGGGAGGCCGAGTGAGTGGATCACTAGGTCAGGAGATCGAGACCCATCCTGGTTAACACAGTGAAACCCCGTCTCTACTAAAAATACAAAAAATTAGCCAGGCGTAGTGGCCGGGCACCTGGAGTCCAGCTACTCAGGAGGCTGGGGCAGAGAATGGCGTGAACCCAGGAGGCGGAGCTTGCAGTGAGCTGAGATTGCGCCACTGCACTCCATCCCAGCCTGGGGACAGGGCAAGAACTCAGTCTCAAAAAAAAAAAAAAAAAAACGAAAAAACAAAAAAAACACAACGACCCAAGTAGGTATCTATGTTGTATCATTCCTTTTTGTGACTGAGTAATATTCCATTGTGTAGATATACCACAGTTTGTTCAGCCATTCATCAGTTGATTAGGTAGGCATTGAGTTGTTTTCACTTTTTGCCTATTATGAATAATGCTGCCATGAACATTCATGTACAAGTTTGTGTGTGGACATACATTTTTAGTTCTCTGGGGTATATACCTAGAAGTGGAATTGCTGGGTCATATGGTAACTCTATGTTTGACTTTTTGAGGAATTGGCAAGCTGTTTTCCAGAGCAACTGCACCATTTTAAATTCCTATCAGCAGCATATGAGGGTGCCAATATATCCATATTCTTTGTTTTTGTTTTTTTGAGATAGAGTCTCGCTTTGTTGCCCAGGCTGGAGTACAATGGTGCAATCTCGGCTCACTGCAACCTCCGCCTCCCAGGTTCAAGTAATTCTTCCGCCTCAGCCTCCCAAGAAGCTGGGATTACAGGTGCCTGCCACTACGCCCAGCTAATTTTTTTTTTTTTTCGTATTTTTAGTAGAGACAGGGTTTCACCATGTTGGCCAGGCTGGTCTTGAACTCCTGACCTCCAGTGATCCACCCACCTCGGCATCCCAAAGTGCTGGATTACAGGCATGAGCCACCACACCCAGCCCTATAGCTCCACATTCTTGCTAACACTTACCTCTTTTTTGCAATAGCCATCTTAGTGGGTGTGAAGTAGTATCTCTTTGTGGTTTTGATTTTCATTTTCTTTATGGCTAAGAACACTGAGCATCTTTTCATGTGCTTATTTGCTATTTGTATGTCTTAATGGAGAAATGTCTATTCAAATCCTTTGCCCATTTTTAAAATCAGGTTGTCTTTTGTTGTCGAGCCTTAAGAGTTTTTTAATAATTCTGAATATTGGACCCTTATCAGACATATGATTTGAAAAACAGTTTCTCTCATTGTATGGGTTGCTGTTTCACTTTCTTGAAAATATTATTTGAAGAACAAAAGTTTTCCATTTTCATGAGGCATAATTTATCTATTTTTTTTCTTTGGCTGCTTGTGCTTTAGGTGCTGTATCTAAGAAATTATTGCCTAATCCAGGGTCATGAAGACTTACTCCTGGGATTCCTTCTAAAATTTTTTTTTAGTTTTAGGTCTTTGTTCCATTTTTGGTAAATTTTTGTACATGGTATGAGGTAGACAGTCCAACTTCATTCTTCTACATGAGGATATCTAGTTGTTCCAGCATAATTTGCTGAAAAGACTATTTTTCCCCCCCTGAATTGTCTTGGCACTCTTTAGGAAATCAATTGCCCATACATATATGGGTTTCTTTCCTAGACTTTCAGTTCTATTCCATTCTTCCATATGTCTATCCTTGGCCAGTACCACATGGTTTTTATTACTGTAGCTTTGTAGTAAGTTTGGAAATTGGGAAGTGTGAGTCCTGCAACTTTGTTCTTTTTCAAGGTTGTTTTGGCTACTCTGTGTCCTTTGCATTTCCATGTAAATTTTAGGATTCGTTTGTTAATCTCAGATTGAATTTTCCTAGGGATTGCATTGAATCTGTGTATCAATTTAGAGAGTATTGCCTCTTAACAATGTTAAGTCTTCTAATCCATGAACAGGCATGCCTTTATCTAAATATGCTTTCATTTTTTTCAGTGATATTTTGCAGTTTTCAGTATATGAATCTTGCACTTATTTTGTTGAACTTAGTTTTTATGCTTTTGTAAACGGAATTGTTTTCTTAATTTCTCTTTTGAGTTATTGATTACCAGTGTATAAAAATACAATTGATTTTTTTGCACATTGATCCTATATCCTGCAGACTTGCTGGACTCACTTATCAGCTCATTTGGTTTTACAATCTCTTCTTAATCTGTATTTCTATCCGTATCAGTCTCCTGAGTTCCAGACCTTTACTTCCAACCACGTCTGGATGTTTCCACTTAGTTGACCTCATAGAGATATCTCTAACTTAATATGTCCAAAATTAAAGTCATCCCCTTCACCCCACTTACAAATACACAAGCCAACCTTTTCCCTTCTGCAGTTTGCGCATCTCAGGTATTATCATTTGCCTGGTTGCCCAAGCCTCTAATACGAGAATCATCTTTGATTCTTCACTGTTTCACCCTGTATAGTCAGTTAGTTCTAACTCCTACGTAGATCTCAATTCTATCCCTCTTATGTATTGTCACTATCCTGGCTCAGGTTTTTATCGTTCTTCTCCTAGAATATTTCAATAATTTCCTTACTGGTTTAGCTGTGCTCATTCTTCCAGTGCTTTCCTTGCCCTCAGAGTAATCCAATTATGTCAGTTAAGATCAGAAATTACTCCAGGCCAGGCACAGTGGCCCACGCTATAATCCCAGCACTTTGGAAGGCCAAGACAGGCGTTCACTTTAGGCCAGGAGTTCAAGACCAGCCTGGGAAACATAGTGAGACCTCATTCTTTAAAAATTAGCCTGTAGTCCTAGCTACTCCAGAGGCTGAGTCTGGAGGACTGCTTGAGCCCAGGAGGTAGAAGCTGCAGTGAGCCATGGTGGTTGCACTGACTCCAGCCTGGGTGAGAGTGAAATCATGTGTCGTAAAAAAAAAAAAAAAACACACACACACACACAAGAAATCATTCTAATTTGAATATGGACTAGATATTATGTGAAAAGAATTACTGTTCATTTTCTCTCTCTCTCTCTTTTTTTATTTTATTTTATTTTTTATTTTTGAGACAAAGTCTCACTCTGTTGCCCAGGCTGCAATGCGGTGGTACAATCTCAGCTCACTTTAACCTCCGCCTCCCGGGTTCACGTCATTCTCCTGCCTCAGCCTCCTGAGTAGCTGGGACTACAGGTGTTTGCCACCACGCCTGGCTAATTTTTGTATTTTGAGTAGAGATGGGGTCTCACCATGTTGGCCAGGCTGGTCTCGAACTCCTGGCCTCAGGTGATACACCCACCTCAGCCTCCCAAAGTGTTGGGATTATAGGCATGAGCCACCGTGTCCAGCCACTGTTCATTTTCTTAGGTGTGATAATAGTACTGTGGGAGAATGTTCTTATTCTTAGAAAGTACATCCATCTCCAAAAAAAAAAAAAAAAAAGTATATTCTGAAGTCTTTAGTGTCAAAAGATGTATTCTCTGTAACTTATTTTCAAATTGTTCAAGAAACTGTGTGTGTGCGTGCATGTGTGTGTGTAGAGAGAGAGAGAGAAAGCAAATAAAACAAAATATTAACAATTGTTGAATTAGGTGGAGGGCATATGGGTTTTTCTGTGTGTAACCTGCTCTTCAAACATATATTTGTTGAATGAATGAATTGTGCTTTTTGCTATGAGTTTTCTTGTTATCCTCAGTTCATGTTGATCCAGGCTTAACTTGGTCAGGTGGATTTCTAGGAATATTCGAAGAATCAATGCTTAGGCAATAATGCCTATCTTTATTTTATTTTATTTATAAATAGATAATAAATATACATGGTACAAAATTCAAAATGCACAGGAGGTTTCTTAATTTTTGAAGATTGCTTGATTCTGCAACGTATCACTTGCTCTTAAAAGTGCTATATAGGGTCGGGCGTGGTTCCTCAAGCATATAATCCCAGCATTTTGGGAGGCCATGGCGGGTGGATCACCCGAGGTCAGGAGTTCGAGACCAGCCTGGTCAACATGGTGAAACCCTGTCTCTACTAAAAATACAAAAATTAGCTGGTCATGGTGGCAGGTGCCCGTAATCCCAGCTACTCGGGAGGCTGAGACAGAAGAATTGCTTGAACCTGGGAGGCAGAGGTTGCAGTGAGGCGAGATCACGCCATTACACTCCAGCCTGGGCAACAAGAGTGAAACTTCGTCTCAAAAAATATATACTATAGAGTGTATTTTTTAAATGCAATTGATATATCCCAACTAATTGAAACCTCCAAATAACTGATAGGCAGATGCACATACTTTGCTACCCTTTATTTTTATTTATTTATTTATTTATTTATTTATTTGAGACAGGGTCTCACTCTGTTGCCCAGGCTGGAGCACAGTGGTGCTATCTCAGCTCACTGCAGCCTCAATTCCCGGGGCTCATGTGATTCTCCCATTTAAGCCTCCGGAGTATCTGTGATTAGAGGTGCACAACACCATGCCCAGCTAACTTCTTGTATTTTTAGTAGAGATGGGGTTTTGCTATGTTGCCCAGGCTAGTCGCAAACTCCTGGACCAAGAAATCCACCCACCTGGGCCTCCCAGAGTGCTGGAATTACAGGCATGGGCCACCACACCCATCCCCTTTATTTTATTTTTAATTAACTAGTTTTAATTAAACTAATTTTTATCATAAAAGCAATGGATGTTCTGAGGGGGAATGTAAACTAGGGGTTGGCAAATCATGGCCCATCAGCCAAATCTGGCTTACCACTCTGTTGGTAAACAAAATTTTATTGGAAACACAGCCACACTCATTAATTTATATAATATCCGTGGCTGCTTTCAGGCTACAACAGCAGAACTGAGGAGTTGTGATCAAGACCCTATGGCCACAAAGCATAAAATATTTACTTTCTGGCCCTTTACAGTAAATGTTTTCCAACCACTGAGATAAACTATACAGAAGGGTATACGGTGAAACATAAAATCCCTCTCCCTGAGTCACCCCTCCAAATCCCAATCCCCAGAGGTAAGTACTGCTAATAGTTTTAATCTTTTCCAGAAATAAATATCTGTGTATATACAAATAAACATATATGGATACATACATTCATTTTTACATAAATGAAGATTTCTTTCTAACTTCAACTTGGCATATCCCCGTTTTTGTTTGTTTGTTTTTGTTTTTGTTTTGTTTTTGTTTTTGTTTTTGAGACAAGGTCTCACTCTCATGCTGTTGCTCGGGATGGAGTGTAGTTATACAATCTCAGCCCACTACAACCTCCAACTCCTGGGTTCAAGCGATCCTCCTGCCTCAGCCACCCAAGTAGATGGGACCACAGGCGTGTGCCACTACACTTGGCTAATTTTGTAATTATTTGTAGAGATGGGGTTTCACTATGTTGCCTAGGTGAACTGCTGGCTCAAGCCATCCTCCTGCCTTGGCCTCCCAAAGTGCTGGGATTACAGGCATGAGCCACCACACCCAGCCTCAGCATATCCTCTTGAGAATTTCCCATGCTTTTTAAAAATAACTGAAGTACTCTAGTGTCATTAACTGGGTATGATAATCGTACAAAGGGTTTTCTACATGCCTTATGAGCTTTGTAGTTCCAGCATCAGATCCTAGGATCTTGTTTTCCCTGTAGTATCAAGGGAAAATTAGAGTTTAAAAGATAATTTCTGATCATGGTGAGAGTGAGGAAAATAACCAAACCTTACCCACATCTCCTTCATCTAACAAGTTTTGTTCCTAGGAGAAAATTGCAAATAGTCACTTTACTACTCCCCTTCCTCCAGTTTAGTTTCCCTCCATTTCCTCTTTTTCATTGTTAACATAGTAAGCTCTGTTTAAAAATTTTTTTTAAATAGACACGAGGGCCTCACTATGTTGCCCAATCTGCTCTCAAACTCCTGGGCTTAAGTGATCGTCCTGCCTTGGCCTCCCTGAGTGCTGGGGTTACAGTTGTGAGCCACTGAGCCCAGCCTAAAAAATCTTTGACATCACACCATAGTTAGGCACGATGTTTGCATTGGATGAGGTTGAGTGAAATGTGCAGAGGACCTCCCTGTGCATTTCTTTGCAACTTCCTATGAATCTATAATTATTTTAAAATAAAACGGATTTTTAAAATCAGATAATATTTTGCCTTAGATTCAGAATTTCTGTTCTCCATTATCTATGGCACAGAGGCAAATTTCCTTTAAAAGACATTGAGGGGGCCAAGCACAGTGGCTCATCCCTGTAATCCCAGTACTTTGGGAGGCTGAGGCAGGTGGATCACCTGAGGTCAGGAGTTCGAGACCAGCCTGGCCAACATGGCAAAACCCCATCTCTACTAAAAATACAAAAATTAGCCGGGTGTGGTGGCAGGAGCCTGTAATCTCAGCTACTCAAGAAGCTGAGACAGGAGAATCATTTTGAACCCAGGAGGCAGAGGTTGCAGTGAGCCAAGATCACGCCACTGCACTCTAGCCTGGGCAAGAAGAGTGAAACACCTTCTCAAAAAAAAGAAAAAAAAGAAAAAAAGAAAAGACATTGAGGGGCTGGGCGTGTTGGCTCCTGCCTATAATCCCAGCACTTTGGGAAGCCATGGCAAGACGATCACTTGAACCCAGCAGTTCAAGACCACCCTGGGCAACACAGCAAGACCCTGTCTCATTAACTAAAAAGAAAGAAAGAAAAAGAAGTCCAGGCGCAGTGGCTCATGCCTGTAATCCAGCACTTTGGGATGCCGAGGTGGGTGGATCACTGGAGGTCAGGAGTTCAAGAACAGCCTGGTCAACATGGTGAAACCCCATCTCTACTAAAAATACAAAAAAATTAGTGGGCCTGGTAGCGGGCACCTGTAATCCCAGCTACTCGGGAGGCTTAGGCAGAGAATTTCTTGAACCCAGAAAGTGGAGGTTGCAGTGAGCCGAGATCATGCCACAAAAAAAAAAAAAAGAAAGAAAGAAAAGAAAAAGGAAAAAAGACATTGAGAACTGTCCCTGATCTGGCCTGAGCCTAACCTCACCCTTACTTTTTTCTGTACCCCTACACATGCCCTCTGCTGCTTCCATTCCAGACTACCCACAGTTCCTCAAAGCAAAGCCAGTTCCCTGGACAGTGCCTTTGCTTGTACCTTTTCTTCAGCCCTAAATACATTTTCCAAAATTCCCATCTGAAAAATTTCTATTCTTTCAGTTCTCAAACATCTTTTGCTAATCCCTTCCTTCCCTGTTGTAGAAAAGTAGATTATTTTTTGTGCCATCACAAACCTTCTCAGAAAGTGAAGATTTTCTACCCACCAGATGAGAAAACTGAAGCTCTTTCAGGTGGAATGCAGAGTACATGGCTAGTAATGTACTTGGCTAGTACATGGCTAGTCCTTGGCCTTGGACCACCAGATAGCCAAGTATTGCTAGAAAAATCATGAAAAATGGTAGGTTGATGTCTCCATAAAGAGGGCTGGCTTTAGTTAAGTCCTTAGACTGATTCAAGCTGAGTTCATGACTCCATGCTAACTTCTGGTTCTTGAGAAAAGGAATCATTTCTTATTTAATTCTTACCTTTTGCACTTTTTCTATGTTGAAACATGATTGGGACTCAATAAATGTTTGCTGAATGAATGATCCAAAAAAATGAATAATGTGGATTGAGGAGTTGGTTGGTTCTCCTTTCTCTTATCTTCTGCCACTAGACTTGCTGAAGTCTCACATCCTCTCTAAATCTCTTCTGTTTTTTCCCACTTGTACTTGGCCCTAGAACTTCGGATCAAGAGACAAAACTCCTCAGACAGCATCTCAAGCCTCAACAGCATCACTAGCCATTCCAGCATCGGCAGCAGCAAGGATGCTGATGCAAAAAAGAAGAAAAAAAAGAGTTGGGTAGGTAAAGGTTTGGGGGGTGGGGAACTAGGTAGAACCGTGGTGGACCGCCTTCACCTCGGCATAGGGATCAAATCTTTCTGGGATTAACCAAGGTGTAGTCCCATCTAACACTGAGCCCTAGTGTGATGTCCGCTCAGAGCACGGTCTCCCAAATTCTCCCTTCCCTCAATCATTCCCTACTTGTCCCCAAGGCCACCCCTCTGACCTTTATATACATGTATCTGCTTTCTTTGGACTTTCTTTGGGCTCTCCATTTGGTTAGGCCAGATGTATTTGGCAGCAGAAGGATGATGAGGAAATACTCAGAAGGAAACATCTTATCAGTTCCGTTCCCCCGATTCCCCCACTCCCTTCTATACTATGGAGAGATTTTATGAACAAAGCTGTTCATTCTAGACTCCTGGAGGTCATTTCTTTAATTTTTGGAGATGCTTTGTGGAGCTTTCCAGATTACTTCAAAAGACTCTTTATTATTACCTTTGGTAGGTCCAGAAGTCATTTTTGTGCGTGTGGTGTTTTTCCCTTGCATAATCCTAAACTGACCTTTCTGAAATTCTTCAGGCAGGTCTAGACAGTCTCAGCCCCTCTTGCTGACTGTGGTAAGAAAGCATCCCCAAGTGGACATGTCCTGCTTCTCTGTCCCCTGTTCAGTAAGACACTTCCCCAGACCTTTGTATAATGCAGACAGGTACCAGCTGTGTGAAATGAGTGATTAAGTGTTGATTCTTTTTTTTTTTTCCTTCAAAATGCTGACTCCAAATCCCTATTTTTTTCCAGGTCTATGAGGTAAGAGACCCAGTTCCTATCCCCTTATTTTCTCTTTCCCTTTGCCATACCTTCCCTATTTCCAGAGCAACTCCCTTCCCCTAAAAACAAAAATGAATGACCACTCATAACACTAACTGTAACGACCACCCAGAGTTCCTAACTCACTCCACTGCATGGTCCATCCACAGCTGCCCCATGTGAGGACAGAGGAGTGGTCTGGTTGGGGGCCAAATGGGAAAGTCAAACAAAATTCAAATATATTCCCTACTATCTTCCCCTGTTACAAAATTGGCCTGTTATAAAAAGCAGTTAAATTGAGCTCCTCCTATCCAGAAAAATGAACCTTCTTCTTTTTGGTTCCATAATACCTAGAGACCTAACATGGAAGAGAGTCACTGGATGAAAGTTATCTTGACTACAGTTTCCACAGGCCAGTTCAGCCTAGGTCTTACCCGAAGATTTAGCTCTAGAGTAGGATGAACCAGAGATAGGTGAGGGATAGAGACCAGGAGGGCACACTCAAGTCACCCCAAAGCCTAAAACTGTCTAAGCATTCTTGGAGTTCCCAAAGACATTTCAGGGATGAGAGTATAGTCTAAGATGAACAGAAAATGCATCCAGAATTTCTGTTACAAACCAGATACCTGAGGTCCACTCTAACCCTACTCCAACATTGTGCTAGGTGTTGTGAAGGATATGAAAAATAGAATCTATAATCTCGTCATTAAGGAACCCGCAGTATTACTGAGGAGACCAAAAAAATTATACATGTAAAATTAATAGCAATCCAACAGTGCCACAATGCTTATTCGAGCAGTAAGTGCTAAGGGAGTTCACAGATGACGAGACAGTGATTACAATAGGCAGGGAAGACTTCTCAAAGGAGGTAAAAGTTAAACTGAGATGGAACTGTGATGGGTAGAGAGGAATGTGTTGGGATGCTTTCTACATAGACACTATTCAGAAGAGAAGCAACGGAAGATGGAGAAGGCCAGCTTAGCTGGAGAACTGACTAAGTAGGGTATAGTCAACATAGGAAGAGCCTGATACTTATTTAAATTTGATTTTTTAGATTAACATTTGCCAAAGTGTGTTCCACTGATTGCCAGCCCATTGAGATGCTCCTTAAAATGTGATACCATTGACTGGGCTCGGAGGCTCAGGCCTGTAATCCCAGAACTTTGGGAGGCTGAAGTGGGCGGATCACTTGAGCTCAGGAGTTCAAGATCAGCCTGGGCAACATGGTGAAACCCCGCCTCTACTAAAAATGCAACAATGTACTGGGTATGGTGATGCGTGCCTGTGGTCCCAGCTACTTGGGGGCTGAGGTGGGAGGATAGCTTGAGCCTGGGAGATTAAGTGAGCCAAGATTGCATCACTGCACTCTAACCTGGGTGATAGAGTGAGACTCTGTCTCAAAGAAAGAAAAAAGTGATACCATCATCAAATAAATTTGAGAAGTACTGCATTTTCTCTCTCTCTTTTTAAATTTTTTTTTTTTTTTTGAGGCAGAGTCTCACTCTGTCACCCAGGCTGGAATGCAATGGTGCGATCTTGGCTCACTGCAACCTCGGCCTCCCGGGTTCAAGCAATTCCCCTGCCTCAGCCTCCCGAATAGCTGGGATTACAGGCATGCACCAACATGACCAGCAAATTTTTGTATTTTTAGTAGAGACGGGGTTTCACCATCTTGGCCAGGCTGGTCTCAAACTCCTGACCTCAGGTGATTTGCCCACCTCCGCCTCCCAAAGTGCAGGAATTACAGGCATGAGCCACTGCGCCCAGCCTAAGTACTGCATTTTCTACATCTGCACAGAAAAAGTTCTGAGATATCCCCTAGCAAATAATCTTGTTTCATTTTGCTTAATCCATTGTTCCCTAAACTCATTTAACCATGGAACCATTAGCCACGTAACACCAAACATCTCCCAACAGTTCTGGCTTTGGGAATACTGAACTACACATATTCTCACTTAGGATCTTATTGATCTTAGGGGCATATGCTCCAGGCAGCTTGTCATAGGATCTCTTTATACACACACACACACACACACACACACACACACACAGAGCATCCCATGAGGCAGTGGTATGGAGAAACTTCACTGGATTGAAAATTAGGAAGCCTGAGTTCTAGTCCTAAGTCTTACGTCAATTAGGTAGTTTCAAGCAACTCAACTCTGGCCTTTTCAGGCTCAGTTCTTCATCTCTGCAGAGAACTGAGCTTTATGGTATTTTGAGCCCTGACTGCTCAGTGATAAGAAGTCACCTGGAGCCAGCCAGCTGCACACATACTCACTCATTCATATCTCCACCACAGCCAAGTTGGTCCTCTTTATGTCTTGCCTGGTGGAAACCCCAAGACGCACCACCCACCAGCTCCATCCATCACCTGACGGCCTTCCTATGTTCCAGGAGAGACACTTAGAAAGTGTACCCTCAAATTTTTCCTTCTTTTTTCTCACTGTCCCAAATATCTGGTTTGCCTTTGTCCCCTATAACCTTTGACCCCTCCTTTACTCTCTGCCTCTTGCTGCCATTTCATATTTGTGTCCCTGTGTGTATGTGTGTGTGTATGTGTGTGTGTGTGGTGTGTGGTGTGTGCATGCTGTGTGGATGCATGTGGATGGGTATGGGACAGGACCCTGGTTTGCATCTCTAGCTCACATCCCTAACACCCAAGCTCATCAACATCAAGATCAAACAAGCTACGGTCAGATTATAACACCCCAAGTACTCTAAGGAAATGCTGGGAAATAGCCCTTCTTCTAGGACATTGGAAATCATAGAAAATGCTTATGTCTGGCTGTTTTAACCATTCTGTGATGTCCTGGGCACAAGAAATACTAACAGAAGCTTGAGCCCACTGCCTTCTCATGTTCTCCACAGAATCATATTGTCAGTTTCTGGTTGATAGATGACTAGATGAACAGATTCTGGGCTGATGAGCCCTAGTCAGAGGCATCATGAGGTGGCATCTGAGGCCCACAGTGAGCTAGGTTCTAGACTGAACAGTTATTGTTCTGCTGCAGAAGGTGGGATTGGATCACTGAGCTGTATACATTGTGACCTCTGGGAACTTCTCTCTGTCCCCATCAGGGGCACAGTGACCCTATGAGCAACAGAACACCCAGGAAGTTCCCATAGCCGACAACAGCAGCAAGCTAGAAGATTCTATTCTTTCTCTCAGTCCTAATTTTCTTTCTTTCTTTCTTTCTTTTTCTTTCTTTCGTTCTTTCGTTCTTTCATTCTTTCGTTCTTTCTTTCTGTTTTTTGAGATGGAATCTCACTCTGTTGCCAGGCTGGAGTGCAGTGGCTCAATCTCAGCTCACTGCAAGCTCCACCTCCACGGTCCTGATTTCTAGGCAACTCTTCTGTCCATATTCTATGAATCAAGTGAAGTGTTATAGAGGGTGGCTTAATTAAAGTAAATCCCCTGCCTCCAGCTCTCTCTGTCTCAGAAGTCCCAATCCAGTCCTCCCCCATCCCAATAGTGGAGTCCTGATGTCCCTCTACCTGGATCTGCTTTTTTCTAGCTTCGAAGTTCCTTCAACAAAGCGTTCAGTATAAAAAAGGGGCCCAAGTCAGCTTCCTCATACTCGGATATAGAGGAGATTGCTACACCCGACTCCTCGGCTCCCTCATCCCCCAAACTACAGCATGGTTCTACGGAGACTGCTTCACCCTCCATCAAGTCGTCCACCTCATCCTCCGTGGGCACTGATGTCACCGAGTAAGTGCTCTCTGGCTCCCTGCCACCCAGCCTGTTACCAGTGTAAGCTGCGGGCTAGAGTTGACAGGAGGCCATTAGACCTTAGACAAGCAGTACTTATTACTGACCTCTCCCTGGGCATATGAGACCAACATATGGACCTTTCTTCTCATACTGATTGAGTATCTATGGGCAGGAGGAGCCAAGACCACCAACCATGCCTCTTCATATTCTCTAGTAACTCTACTGCTTCTTCATGTAGCTTGGCTTAACTCTTGCTATCTTACAGGGGCCCCGCTCACCCAGCCCCCCACACTAGGCTATTCCATGCAAATGAGGAGGAGGAGCCGGAGAAGAAGGAGGTATCGGAGCTGCGTTCTGAGCTATGGGAGAAGGAAATGAAGCTTACAGACATCCGCTTGGAGGCCCTCAACTCTGCCCACCAACTGGATCAGCTTCGGGAGACCATGCACAACATGCAGGTCAGCGTCTGGGCGGACAGCTGCAGGAAAGGGAAGACCAAGGTTTGCTACTGTCCAATCTGCCACCCTACCCTATCTGTTCTCACCACAGTTGGAGGTGGACCTGCTGAAAGCAGAGAATGATCGGCTGAAGGTAGCCCCAGGCCCCTCATCAGGCTCCACTCCAGGGCAGGTCCCTGGATCATCTGCGTTATCTTCCCCGCGCCGCTCCCTGGGCCTGGCACTCACCCATTCCTTCAGCCCCAGTCTTGCAGACACAGGTACCTGTGCGGGAGAAGAATCTATAAGGGTGAAGGGAAGAAAGGGGCTTATTTCAGTGTTACACCATTGCACTGGCTCTGGTCAGAGAGGTAACAGTGCCCAAGTCAAGCAGATGCCAGTGTCCTGAGACACTGAGTTGTAATGGTCCTTCAACCTTAACTACTTTTGAGCTTAGGACCTCCATTCCTTCTCTGTGGCAAATAGAATTATTTGGAAAGGATAGTGATTGGAAAGTTTAGGAAAGGCTGCAGGTACTCCTAAAACCAGTTGGTTCTTTTCAATCCCCACAGACCTGTCACCCATGGATGGCATCAGTACTTGTGGTCCAAAGGAGGAAGTGACCCTCCGGGTGGTGGTGAGGATGCCCCCGCAGCACATCATCAAAGGGGTAAGGAACTTCAGGGAGAGCCCTGGTGGGAACAAACAAATACTGTTACATTTATCCAAGAAAATCTGGGCCCCGGGTACCTCCACAACCAAAGAACTCAACTCCTAAGGCCTTTAGGACCCCGGTTCATGGAGTCATCTGCAGTGAAGCTCAAGAGCTTTTCCTTCCTTGGCTTTACAGGACTTGAAGCAGCAGGAATTCTTCCTGGGATGTAGCAAGGTCAGTGGAAAAGTTGACTGGAAGATGCTGGATGAAGCTGTTTTCCAAGTGTTCAAGGTAAAGGGATACCTGCACTCAAAAAGGTTGCTTATCCTCTCATGGGATATGTATACTTTTTTAGAGACGGAGTCTCACTCTTGTCACCCAGGCTGGAGGGCAGTGGCGTGATCACAGCTCACTGCAGCCTTGAACTCCTGGGCTTAAGTAATTCTCCTGTCACAGCCTCCTGAGTAGCTGGGATTACAAGCATGTGCCAGCATGCATGGCTTCTCATGGGATATTAAGCCATCCAGGCACTGGGACCCTGGGGACCTTTGAGGCTTTATGGAGAAATGCTGCCTAGGAAAAGCACATGCTCTGCACTTTCTCCATCTACTTCTGTTTCCTCTGATAGACATTCTTTGTTGTAGCTTTTACACCTGTGTTTGTATATTTTCTTCTTGTTCTGCCTGTCTTTTCTGTCAGGACTATATTTCTAAAATGGACCCAGCCTCTACCCTAGGACTAAGCACTGAGTCCATCCACGGCTACAGCATCAGCCACGTGAAACGAGTGTTGGATGCAGAGCCCCCCGAGATGCCTCCTTGCCGTCGAGGTGTCAATAACATATCAGTCTCCCTCAAAGGTCAGTCTTTGTCTCTTGGGGTGAGGTGGTGTGGCATGAAGGCAGGGACAGGATCATCAAATAATCCGTCATGCATTCATTCACCAAGAACTCACTGAGAAGGTATAATATGAAGATGCTTAAGTAATGTGAGATATAAAAAGATGAGTAAGACCCAGTCCTAACTTTGGCTCCCAGGGAGACTTTTGCTAAGCCTAGGATTTTTACTTCGCTCCTCACCCCCAGCTCAGAGCATGTCCCTAAAAAGATTTAAGTTTTCAAAACTGGGGGTTAAGGGACTCTTATGGAACCATGGGGCAAGTGGCTCTGAATTTCTTCAGGGGGCTCCTAGATGAAGAAAGAAAAGCCCTTTAGGATCCCTTGCTATCCTCAAGACCCTGGTCAAGACTCGTGCTTTCTGGGGTGGGGGTTCAGGTCTGAAGGAGAAATGCGTCGACAGCCTGGTGTTTGAGACGCTGATCCCCAAGCCGATGATGCAGCACTATATAAGCCTCCTGCTGAAGCACCGGCGCCTCGTCCTCTCGGGCCCCAGCGGCACGGGCAAGACCTACCTGACCAATCGCTTGGCCGAGTACCTGGTGGAGCGCTCTGGCCGTGAGGTCACGGAGGGCATCGTCAGCACCTTCAACATGCACCAGCAGTCTTGCAAGGTGGCTACCCCCCGACACCCCCGTCAGCCTTTGTTCATGCCTCAGCCTTCCCCAAGACCTTTCCCCAGCCCCTTCCTGCCTCATTGTTCCCTTTTCCTCACCTCTGCCTTCATCTTTCTTCTCCTCTTCTGTGTTCATTTCCTTCCCTCTCTGTCTATCCCCTTTTCCAGTCTTCTCCTTTCCCTCCCCACAATTTCTTTCCAACCTCTTGCCCTTAACTTGTTTCTCCACACTTTCCCTTGCCTTTGTGGAGAAAGGCTTTTCTCTCCACACTTTTCCTTGCTTTGTGCACCTTCCTCCTCAGTTGGTCATTGATGAAACTGCATCCTCCTCATTTCTACCCCACTCTCTGCCAGCCCCGTCAATCCATCCCTTCTCTTTTGTTCTCTTCCTTCTACTTCTCTTCTCAGTATTACTCTCTGACCTTGGCCTTTCTGGGAAGAAGCACTCAGAATTAAATGGTACATATTGTACCCTCCCCTGCCAAAACCTGATGTCTCTTGAGCACACCCTAATACTATGGACTTGGTTCAGATCTTTGCTCTTACCAGCTGGGGGAGGCATGCCCGTTAACAGTAGTCCATGGTACCTGTGAAAGTCCACCTAGGAAATAGCATATGTCCCCGACCTTTGGGGAATTTTGGGGCTGCTGCTTAAGAGGGTTGCTTTAGAGCCTTTGGAACCACTGCTTATCACTGTGGTAATCTGATTCTACAATCAAATTTCCAAGGAACTAAAGGCCCCAGGGGAATCTAGATAGTAAAACTTCTTCAAAATCCTGATTTCCAAGGCTGATCCAGCTGCTTATTCCCAAGTGTGGACCCACAGCCTTCTTTTATTCCAGGATCTGCAACTGTATCTTTCCAACCTGGCCAACCAGATAGACCGGGAAACAGGAATTGGGGATGTGCCCCTGGTGATCCTATTGGATGACCTGAGTGAAGCAGGCTCCATCAGTGAGTTGGTCAATGGGGCCCTCACCTGCAAGTATCATAAATGGTAAGTAAGCTGGGGTCGAGACAAAACTCACCGAAGTGGGAGGAGGGAGAACCCCGTCCGGGACAACCTATGAGTTGTGTGCACGTGGCAGAAAGCAAGTGTGAAGGCAAATCTAAGTGAATCTTTTTCCCCTTTCTCCCTACAGTCCCTATATTATAGGTACCACCAATCAGCCTGTAAAAATGACACCCAACCATGGCTTGCACTTGAGCTTCAGGTAAGAACTCTGGCTCTGGATGAACCTTCTGACCCTATCCAAGAGTCTTCAATCCTGGACTCTGGCCAGAAGACAGTAGATAGGAGAAGGAAAGAGAAGTATCCAGAGCTTTTTGGGCTGGAAAGAGAAAGTAGATGTATTTGTCATGTCAGTTTCAAGGTGGAGGAGGACACTTGAGGAGAGAAAAGGACTGCAAAGCTAAGAGAGAGACAGGTAGGTTGCTCTAAGCAGAATTAGGAAATTCTCTGTCCGCACACGCTGATCTGGGTCAGTGATGTCAGAAGGTTATCTGAAGAGGGCTACCGATTTGAGAATCAGCTCTACCACCCCAGGGCTGCTGCTCTGAGTTCAGATGTCCCCGCTATTACTTGAAAAGAACCGAGTAGGCATTAGTGAGAAGGAGGGACGGACTGGCAGGGGCTGAACCCTGACAATGTCCCCATTGCCACTCTGACCCCACTTTCCCCATCCTTGGTGGCAGGATGTTGACCTTCTCCAACAACGTGGAGCCAGCCAATGGCTTCCTGGTTCGTTACCTGAGGAGGAAGCTGGTAGAGTCAGACAGCGACATCAATGCCAACAAGGAAGAGCTGCTTCGGGTGCTCGACTGGGTACCCAAGCTGTGGTATCATCTCCATACCTTCCTTGAGAAGCACAGCACCTCAGACTTCCTCATCGGTACTGGGGTCCAGCTTCTCCCTGGGGGTCAGGAGGTGGCTTCCCTTTTCCACTGTACCACCTGGAGGGATGCTCCCTTTCCTTCCTGGACTCTTCAGCATGTAAAGGAGCTCCAAGCCTTGTGGCTTCAGACTTAGAACCACTTAACAAGCCTTCCCAACACAGCACCACTTCAATCACCAGAAAGCTAACTCCTCTCCCTAGTTTTTTCCCAAAATTAACAGAAAAAAAGGAGGGCACATATGTAGGAGGGAATTAAACAGCTTTCCTCACTCCCTTATCTCACATCTACCTTGTGAAGCAGGACTTATGAGATTGCCATCTAGGCAGTCAGCACCCACTAGTCTTGACAACTCTAAATTTCCTTTAATCCTTTGGCTGTCAGACCCCTCTGCCTGGTACTAAGGAGTAAAAGAGGCACAAAACTGGGAAGATCTAGGCTCCCAGCTGTGTTCATGGCCTCATCCTCTTCCCTAGGCCCTTGCTTCTTTCTGTCCTGTCCCATTGGCATTGAAGACTTCCGGACCTGGTTCATTGACCTGTGGAACAACTCTATCATTCCCTATTTACAGGAAGGAGCCAAGGATGGGATCAAGGTGAGCCCTACCCTCTTCAGTCAAACCCCAAGATCAGGCTGTCCTACCTAACAAAGTAGAAATGTTTCTTTAATGTTAGGCATGGGACTACTGGGATTAGTTAGGTTCTCTTTCTACCAGGTGGAGCAAGGCACTAGATAGACTAAGCTGCTTTCCTGCCTCCACCTGCCATTCAGCAAATGGCACAATGACCACTGCCTCTGGGGCCATCTCTCCAGCCCTAGGCCTTCTGGCTCTAAGTCCAATTTAAACCACTCTCTAGGAGTCAGAGCACACAGAAAAATAACTGAGCTAAGAATTAAGTAAAACGCTAATTTAAAAACAACAACAACAACAACAACCTTAGTTTAGCTACTTACTACTAATTAAGTATGTTATATTGACCAAGTTACTTTTTAAATATCCTCATATGTAAAAAAAAAAAAAAAAAAGGAGGTATCACCTTCTGCTCTACCTAAATCACTGGAGTCTTTTGAAGACAAAATGAAATATGTAAAAAGATTTTTAAAAGTTAGAATAAGGAGGCCAGGCACAGTGGCTCACGCCTGTAATCCCAGCACTTTGGGAGGCCGAGGCAGGTGGATCACGAGGTCAGGAGATCAAGACCAGCCTGGTGAGACCCTGTCTCTACTAAAAATAGAAAAAATTAGCCAGGCTAATTTTTTTTTTTGTAGTCCCAGCTACTCGGGAGGCTGAGGCAGGAGAATGGCGTGAACCCAGGAGGTGGAGCTTGCAGTGAGCTGAGATGGTGCCACTGCACTCCAGCATGGGCGACAGAGCGAGACTCTGTCTCAAAAAAAAAAAGTTAGAATAAGGCCGGGCCCAGTAGCTCTCGCCTGTAATCCCAGCATTTCAGAAGGCTGAGGCAAGAGGACTACTTGAGCCCAGGAGCTTGGGCAACATGGAAGACCCTGTCTCTACAGAAAATTAAAAAAATTAGCCAGGCATGGTGGTGCACACGTGTAGTCCAGCTACTCTGGAGGGTGAGGCCAGAAGATCACTTGAGCCCAGGATATATAGGCTATAGTGAGCCATGTTCTCACCACTATACTCCAGCCTGGGCAACAGAGTGAGACCCTGTCTCAAAAAAAAATAACAATTAAAATTAAAAGTTAGAATAAAAACTTAGTGCAAAAGAAACATGTCCTTTTTTTTTTTAAACCACCTCAGTTTTCTTACCTGTAAATTAGAGTATAATGATCACTAAAGTCCATTTCAGCACTAATAAACTGTGATGTAATTGTTAGACCCAACTGGTCATATATTGTCTGTAAAAGTAATTTGTTATTGAGATAGGTATCTCCCGGTGATATAGTAAATTTCTAAAGATGCTGTCAGACTGATGCCAGAAATCATTATTTCATTTATAAATTATGTTATTTTAAGGAAATGTTGCATTATTATTAATAGCTTTTCAATTTAAAAGCATTTTCACACAGATAACATTTGTTTTCAAGAAAGTAAAAAAAATTAAGTATTATGACTAAAGTAGAAAAATTTCCTTCTTGAAAAATGAAATTGCAGGGTCATAAGATTTGTGCATGTTAAGTTTTAATGCAACCTAGGCAACCATCAGTAGATGAATTGATAAAGAAAATGTGGTATATACACACCACATGATGGAAAATTATTCAGTTGTAAAAAAGAAGGAAATTCAAAGCCAGGCATGATGATGCATGCCTGTAGTCCCAGCAGCTACTCTGGAAGCTGAGGCGAGAGGATCCCTTGAGACCAGGAGTTAAAGTCTAGCCTAGGCAACATAGCGAGACCTTGTCTCTTAAAAAAAGGTGGGGTGGTTGGGGGATGGGGAAGAAATTCTGTCATTTACAACAACATGGATAAACCTGGAGGACATTAGGTTAAGTGAAATAAGGCAGGCCTAGAAAGACAAATACTGTATGATCTCACTTATACATGGAATCTAATGAAATCAAACTCAGCGCAGCAGAAAGTAGAATGATGGTTACCAGAGGCTGGGCATGGGGTTAGGTGGGTAGTAGTGGTTGAGGAGATGTTAGTCAAAGGATACAAAATTTCAGTTAGACAGGAGGAATAAGTTCAAGAGATATATTGTACAATATGGTGACTATAGTTAATAACAATGTATCATATACTTGAAAATCACTAAGAGAAAAGTTTCTATTTATTTTTTTGAGATGGAATTTCACTCTTATGCCCAGGCTGGAGTGCAATGGCGCGATCTTGGCCCACTGCAACCTTCACCTCCTGGGTTTAAGTGATTCTCCTGCCTCAGCCTTCCAGGTAGCTGGGATTAACAGGCGTGAGCTACCACACCCAGCCTAGAATAGATTTTAAGTGTTCTCACCACACACACAAAAATATGTGAGGTAAAAGCCAGGCGCAGTGGCTCATGCCTGTTAATCCTGGCACTTTGGGAGGCCGAGGCAGGTGGATCATCTGAGGTCAGGAGTTCAAGACCAATCTCACCAACATGATGAAACCCCGTCTCTCCTACATACAAAAAATTAGCCCAATGTGGTGGCGCATGCCTGTAATCCCAGCTAGTTGGGAGGCTGAAGCAGGAGAATCACTTGAACCCAGGAGGCGGAGATTGCAGTGAGCCAAAATTGAACCATTGCACTCCAGCCTGGGCAACAAGAGCAAAACTCCCTCTGGGAAAAAAATATATGTGAGGTAATACATATGTTAATTAGCTTGATTTAGCCATCCCACAGCAAATACATATTTCATAACATCATGTTATATATCATAAATGCATATAATTTTTGTTGATTAAAAAATAAAATAAATTGAAAAAATAAAAATTAAATATTTTTTAACGTTTTAATACAATCTGCTAAATTGTCCTCCAAAATTATCTTACAATTTATACGAAGTTATTTCCTTGTTTGGAAACTCAGGAAAACTCCACAGAAAGCAGAGCCTCAAGGATTTACATTTGAGGAAGTGCACTTTTTTTTTTTTTTTTTTTGAGGCAGTCTTGCTCTGTCATCGAGGCTGGAGTGCAGTGGCTCACTGCAACCTCCACAGGTTCAAGTGATTCTCCTGCCTCAGCCTCCCAAGTCAGTAGGATTATACAGGCACACACTGCCATGCTTGGCTAATTTATTTTTTATTTTTTATTTTTAGTAGAAACAGGGTTTCACCACGTTGTCCAGGCTGGTCTCGAACTTCTGACCTCAAGTGATCTGCCCGCCTTAGCCTCCCTAAGTGCTGGGATTACAGGCATGAGCCACTGTGCCCGGCCAGGAAGTGCACATTTTTAAGGAGCATATTTTTTGTAGGAACTACCAAGAGACTGCATGAACAAGCCTCTAATCTGTGAATTCCCCACAGTAATCATATTTTACCTTCTTTCCAGGTCCACGGACAGAAAGCCGCTTGGGAGGACCCAGTAGAATGGGTCCGGGACACACTTCCCTGGCCATCAGCCCAACAGGACCAATCAAAGCTGTACCACCTGCCCCCACCCACCGTGGGCCCTCACAGCATTGCCTCACCTCCTGAAGATAGGACAGTCAAAGATAGCACGCCTAGTTCTCTGGACTCAGATCCTCTGGTGAGTAGAAGCCATTCTAGAGTAAAAATAAGACTATTATAGAACTGAATTATTGACCAGCAGGGTGGCTCACACCTGTAATCCCAGCACTTTGAGAGGCTGAAGTAGGAGGATTGTTTGAGTTCAACACCAGCCTGGGCAACATAATGAGACCCTGCCTGTATTTCAAAAAAGAAAAAAATAAGTTTAAAAAAACCCTGAATTTTTCACACTTTTCATGCATGCACTGATGGGGGCCTGGAGAGTAAAGAGTGAGTACTAGCAAGGCCAGGACCAGGCTGAGGCCAGTGAGGAGCTCTGAATATGAGAATCTGGGGTTATAAAGATCATATGCTTGAGACCTGGCTTAAGCTAAATAATAATGCATCCCAGCAAGATGTATTCTAGCAAAGACCCACGTGTCAGGTAGATCCCATGATGTAGGAATATCAACCAAAGAAGTAGAGCAGTAGTGCACACTAGCACTCTCTCTACTTCTGCTTCTCCTCTGATGCTATCCTGAAGACTACTTCAGCTAAATGAGTTCATGTACCAGTTATCATGGAAGCAATCATCATTGCCTTTTCACAAACCACTCTAAACTCTGAGATCTTCATCACTGAGAAACCAAGAATCAGACCCATGATCTAGATTTTTTTTTTATTTTTGGAGACAGAGTCTTGCTCTTTCATCTAGGCTGGAATGCAATGATGATATCAAAGCTCACTGCCACCTCAAACTCCTAGGCTTGTAGGCTCGAGTCATCCTCCCACTTGGGCTTCGGCATCCTGAGTAGCTAGGACTATACTTGTGTGCCACCACACCTGGCTATCAGGGGAACCCCCCCCCGATAGTCAACGTGGGTTCTTTTCTATTTCCCTAAGCGTCGGCTGGTCTGAGAAATAAAGGTAAAGAGTACAAAAGAGAGAAATTTTAAAGCTGGGTGTCCAGGGGAGACATCACATGTCAGCAGGTTCCATGATGCCCCCCTTAGCCGTAAAACCAGCAAGTTTTTATTAGCAATTTTCACAAGGGGAGGGAGTGCACGAATAGGGTGTGGGTCACAGAGATCACATGCTTCACAAGGTAATAAAATATCACAAAGCAAATGGAGGCAGGAAGAGAGATCACAGGACCACCAGGCGAAATTAAAATTGCTAATGAAGTTTCGGACACGCATTGTCATTGATAACATCTCATCAGGACACAGGGTTTGAGAGCAGATGACTGGTCTGACCAAAATTTATTAGGCGGGAATTTCCTCGTCCTAATAAGCCTGGGAGCACCATGGGAGACTGGGGCTTATTTCATCCCTTTGTCTATGACCGTAAAAGACAGCTGCCCCCAAAGCAGCCATTTTAGAGGCCTACCCTTAGGGGCGCATTCTCTTTCTCAGGGATATTCCTTGCTGAGAAAAAGAATTCAGCGATATTTCTCCTATTTGCTTTTGAAAGAAGAGAAATATGGCTCTGTTCTGCCCGGCTCACCCACAGTCAGAGTTTAATCTCCCTTGTTCCCTGAACATTGCTATTATCCTGTTCTTTTTTCAAGGTGCCCAGATTTCATATTGTTCAAACACACATGCTCTACAAGCAATTTGTGCAATTAACGCAATCATCACAGGGTCCTGAGGCGACATACATCCTCCTCAGCTTATGAAGATAAGGGAATTAAGAGATTAAAGACAGGCATAGGAAATCACAAGGGTATTGATTGGGGAAGTGATAAGTGTCCATGAAATCTTCACAATTTATGTTCAGAGATTGCAGTAAAGACAGGCGTAAGAAATTATAAAAGTATTAATTTGGGGAACTAATAAATGTCCATGAAATCTTCACAATTTATATTCTGCCATGGCTTCAGTCAGTCCCTCCATTCGGGGTCCCTGACTTCCCACAACATCTGGCCGATTTTCTTTTCTTTTCTTTTCTTTTTTTTTTTTTGTAGAGACAGGGTCTCTCTTTGTTTTCAAGGCTGATCGCAAACTCCTGGCTTCAAGCTATCCTTTCACCTTGGCCTCCCAAAGTGTTGGAATTTTGTTGTTGTTTCCCTTCTGTGGGCAGGACCCAGAGTCCCAACTCTCATAAATCCATCTTTTTGCCCCTCTTTAGATGGCCATGCTGCTGAAACTTCAAGAAGCTGCCAACTACATTGAGTCTCCAGATCGAGAAACCATCCTGGACCCCAACCTCCAGGCAACACTTTAAGGGTTCGGCAATCACTGTCACCCCCGGACAGCAGAACGCTGGCATCAGCTATCTTAGCTCCTCCTCTCCCCTCTCCTCTTTCAGAGCACTGGCTCTCCAGCCCCAGGAGGAGAACAGGCGGGAGGAGGAGATGAAAGAGGAGGGACAGGTTCTTGGTGCTGTACCTTTGAAAACTTCCTAGTAAGGAATGGTGGGGTGGCGTTTGGGAGCTTGTGCCCCCTAAACACATATACTGGCCTCCTCTAATGACTTTGGGGAAAAGATGATTCTGGGTCTTTCCCTTGACTTCTTGTTTCAATTACAAACTCCTGGGCTTTCTGGGGAGGGGTTCAGAAAACATCAAAACACTGCAGCAGTTCCTAAACGAGTCTCACAAGCAACCCTGAAAGAGACAGTCATGTGAGGGGGATCTGGGGGAGGCAGGAAGCTCCCCAGATTTTCTCACAGACCCTTCCCAATTCCATCACCACTGCCAACAACTCCTCCCCCAGAGATCTGGCTGGAGCCCAGAAAAAGAAGCATGTGGTTTAAAAAATGTTTAAATCAATCTATAAAAGGTAAAAATGAAAAACAAAAACAAGCAAACAAACAAAAAACAATGGAAAAGATGAAGCTGGAGAGAGAGGAACCAGTTGCCAAGGTAGAAAGACAGCTGCCCGCTCCTGCCCTCTGGATGACATAGGGGACATCAACAAGACGGCTGCCAACCTGAGAAGTCACCAAACCACAAAAATAACCTTACAGCCTTCAGAGAAAGACTACCAGCTCTGTCTTTCTGCCCTCTAATTTAACATGCATGAGAGTCAATAAACCCTACTTTTTTATTTTTGTTTTTTATTTTGTTTTCATTTTTTTCTCCTATTTGCCTATTTATTTTTTTTCTTTTCCCTTTTTTTTTTCTTTTTCTTTTTCCATTTTTCCATTTCCTCACATATCCACGAGATGCTTGGGTTGCTTTTCCAGGGGCTAGTTTGGCTTTTCCAAGTGGGTTTTCTTTGGAGAATCTGACGCCATATAATTGGCATGACACCTGCCATGCCAATATCTTTGGCATCCATGGGGCTTATATGAGACATGAAGCAATGGCTCGAAAGTAGAGGGAGAAGAGGAACCCAGTTCCCTTGACTTCCCTTTTGAGAAAGCACATGTTCTGCTAGGTAGCTCAATTGCCAGCCTCTGTCATGAGAGGGTATAGCCTCATCTTGATAGAAGAGCTACTCTGAGCTTTATCATGGACCAGAGGAAAACCAGGAAATTGAAAACATTCCTCTGTCTTGTGGCCAGTTTGGCCTTTCACTGCACTATTCTGATGGTGCCTGACTGAATCAAAATATCCTAGCTGGCTCTTACTATTTTTCACAAGTAAGTATTCACATTTAAGAGACTGAATATCCATGTGAGATCATCCCAATCAGAATATAAGACTCAAGGAGTTTGACTTGGTGGCCAATACCTGCCTTCCAAAGAGATCCTACCTTTGCAGATTTGCTCCTTTCCCATTGCCTCGAAGGTCTGGCAATCCCTGTTCTTTCATTTGACAAGTACTTACTGAGTACTCACTATGTGCAAATCATTAGGTTAACACACACACACACACACACACACACACACACAAGACTTGGGCCCTTAAGTTTACAGTCCAATAGGAAGTGTTAACCTCCATTAAGCTACACCTCCTTGTTATCTAGACCTTCGGGATCATCTAAGAAATGTAGCTGAAACCCAAGGAGCCAGCTAGAAAGAAGCTTTTGATTAGATGTACAATTCGTTGGGGACAGAAGATCTGGGATCAATTAAGATGGCACCTGAAGGACTGTGGAATCTTGTTTGTCAGGAGTGGGCAAGTCTACTTCCTGCCATTTCTGAAAGCCCCATGGGACCAGCTTCCTGGCTGAGCTGCCTGGTAGGCTGAAGCTTCAGGACTCTGCAGATCAGGGATATGTGATGAGCACCGGCCTAAGTGTTTGCTCTTCAGATTCCTAAGTAGCACAAGACTTTATTAGAATCTATAGGCATACCAGCCTGGATCACTCTGTTCCACCCAACCGAGGAGTAGATGCATCTGAATCTTCATATCGGTATATTTTCATTTAGGTCCAAAAGATGGTCCAGGCTGCCCCTCACAAAAGCTTCTGCATTCACGTGGTAAGCTCCCAGGGATGACAGGGTTCTGTATGATGGAGACTATTATTGCTATTGCTGCTAATTCCATGAGCTGTGAAGATCCCTAACCAACTCAGCTGTAACATATGCAATTCTGTGGTGGGAAGAGGCTGTGTGTCCAAGGATGGTGCTGAAATCACTGCCTTAAGGTCTCTGCTGTGCAGAATGAGGAGGCCCCGGAGCTGGCTGTTCTAACTTAGAAGGAAGAGAAGACTGGATGGGCCTGCTTGGGATCTAGGTCTCTTCTAAACCCCTATCCTAAGCTCCAGTTCCATGGCAAGGCTCAGACTTCGCTTCACTCTATTTTCTGGTGCTGCCCAGCCAGTGCCTTCTGCCATGGATGTTACTGGCTACTTGAGAAAAAGGAGAGGGGAGAACCCCTTCTTTCGTTCCAACTGCCTCCAACCCCAAAGGGATTCTTGGCTCTCTGGTAACCATGGATACCACCGTGAATTTTATTTGGATCCTCAGCAGGTTGATTCTGGAGGCCTCATGCCATGACTTTTTATTTCTCTTCCTGGGATCCACCACCCTCTACTCTCAGCTGACTGCTGCGTTTAGCCCAGGTCTCCAGTTGCTTTCCTCCAGAAAGTGTGTTCCCATCTAGTGAGGTGGTATTGAAGCCTTGGCTTTCCCTCTGGAGCCTGGGACCCTGTTTACAGTTGCACATCTGGGCCCCTCACTATGGGGATCGATCATTCTCATGAAGGAATCATGGTTATATGGCAACTGCAGAAGGCTGAGCCTCCTCATGGTGCTATAACCCCTTGGGACACTCATCCAGACTTCTCTGAAGCAGAAAACCTGAGCTCCCCAGTCACTGCCCTAGAATTTATGGCAAGGAGCAAATCCACAGCATTCTCTCCCACCTATGTCCTGCTTCTTGGTTGAGCCTACTGGGATCCCTCAGAAAAGAAACACTGGGTCCCAAAGCTAAATTCTCAACCCCCAGGCACCTTCAGAAGAATCCAGCCTAATACTGGAATTTGTGCTATTATCTTCGTCTCCAGCCCCCCAACTCCATCCCTCACCACAGTTGGCTAGGAAATGACATGAGTTCAATATCTAATGTCAACCATTGGGGAGAGCCACAACTCCAGGAGAGGTTCCTGAGCTGAGTCCCTTAATTTCTGGATGAAGAAGATCAACAAGTTTTGTCCAATGTACTTGTTTCTCAGACCTTGCCTAGGCACTAAAAATAAAATACTAGGTCATTGGAGGCTAATTTGGGGCCTGATGTCTGTGTGTGTGTGTGTGTGTGTGTGTGTGTGTGTCTCCCTCTCTCACACACACAAGAGCAGTATACTGTTGCTGTTTCCTACCTTCTGAGGCTTCAAAGTATTTTTAAAAATCTATGCTTTGTGGCAGCTCTACGGTGCTTATCTCTGTCTTTGTGTCAATCCTTAAGTACCCATGTCTTTTTCATGTCTAACCATTGGGAAGGGAGAGGCTGGCAGGGAAGATGAATCTGCTACAAGTCCATGGGAAGACCCTACAATGAAATCCTTATTGGTTGGTATACTGTTTTGGTCTTGAATTGCCAACCTTCCAGCTGATCTATCCATACTACTTAAGTACTAAAGACAAAAACAGAGGGCTTTTTTTTCCTTCTTAATGTCTTGCCTTCTGGTTTTCCTGGTTTGCAAGACTAAGTGTACCTAATCTCACCATCTCTTCACTTCTAGCTCCCTAAAACAAGGGTCACACTACTCCGAGGGATAACCTCTTACAGTGGTCTGAGGAGTAAGTATTTCCTAAAGTATTCTAAAAGAGAAGGAAGAGAGAAATGGTACCCTGCTGCTTCTCACAGACACCTCACATCCTCACTTGGGATGGCATTCACATAGAAATCCCGCATTTAGGTAAAATTTGCCTGACTGAAGGGGACTCAGTCCTCCAAATCAGGATCAAGGAGGTATCTACGTGAGACCTTAAGAACTCTTTATTGCCATTAGTTGGAGAGGGTGGGGGAATTGTCCTGATCGCACATCTAACACAGGTAATAAGTGCTGAAGTTACCCAGTAGTTGGAGGGAGTGGGGGAATTGTCCTAATCACACATCTAACACAGGGAATAAGTGCTGAAGTTACCCAGATCACCAAGTACGGCTCCTCATCATACTTTATTTTTGCTTTCCTTATTCCTTGGCACTGACTAAGCTAAAGTTAAGAAGCAGACTTCATAAGCCAACCCCTGTGGTGGGATGGGAAAATGGGCTTTTGCAGAGGGTTTATTAATAGAGATGGATTTACTACTCACAAGTTCTGGTTCATGGCTCCACTGAGAAGGCCATAGTAATAAAATGATCTTACGAACACTGTTCCCCAAAGGCCAAAGCCTGAAGATATTGTCCCTTATAATCCAATCAGCCTTATATTTTAATGAGTCCTGAATCAACCTGATTATGGATATATAGTGCCACCAACTTGACACTCCCCACTGCCTAGGGTAGGTACATGGGTGCATGTCTGCTCAGCCTAGCCTTGGAAGCGAGCACTGCCAGCCACAGATCCTGGGAAAGGTGGTAGTAACTTGGAAGATGTTGTAGCCTTGAAGGTAGGATACCTATGAAAATGCCAAAGCTGCAGGGACACGAAGACAGTTGAAAATTCAACCTATGTGTACTAGATCCTTCCAGTTTGATGGTTTGGTCATTCTTCTTCATGATTATGCCATGGAGAATTTTCTGTGACAAGGGTGGTCATGGAAGTAAGTGAGTGATCCCCTGGTTTCTCATTCCTTAAAGCAGTGGTTCTCAAAGTATGGCATAAGACCAGCAGCATCAGCAGCATTTGGAAACTTGTTAGAAACAAAACTCTCAATCCCATCCAGATCTGCTGAATCAGAAACTCTAGTGAGAGGGCCCAGCAATCCATATTTTAATAAACCCTCCTGGTGATTCCGATGCACACTAAATTCAACTATTTTAAAGGGAAAGCCCTTTAGAGTATCGGAGTTCCCACACCGAGAGGCTTTGGGGCCCAAAATAACAAGGTTCTAGGTTGTAATTCAGACTTTAACATTAATTTCAAAGTCACCTTTCTCATGCTTCCTTGTGTTTCTGTTTTTCCATTTATTTTAACAAAGAAAGGTATGTGTGCTTTTGGGTGGAAGTTAGGAGAATGTTTGCATCTTTCCTAGTTGAACACAACCTTCAGAGGAAAACCTTATGCCTCGGAAATTACTAGCTGGCACGCTAAGGGGCTTCAACAAGGAAAGCATTTGGAGGTCTCTTCCAGATTGCTCTTCTGCCGAATTATTTATATCTATTCTGAGCTGATTATGTAATAGGATGGAAAAAGTTAAAAAAAAAAAATCGAATTTGTATTTCCATGACGTGTTCTCCCAGTAACATCCCTCTCCTTTATTTGAGTTATAAAGGGCACTGCTGGGCCTGAGAACTGGGCCAGAACCTCCTTCTGTACGGCAGCTAACAGTGTAGGGCTCCAGTATCCCAGGAAGGCCCCTTATTCACACTCCACTCAGCTCATAGGAGAGTCTTGCGTAATGAAGACACAGCCCTGGGCACTTCAGTCCTTGTGCTCCTCCTCTCTTTTCCCCATAGCAGGACCTAGATACGGAAATACTCAGCCAAGGTGATAGAATAAAATCATATTTTTTTTGTTTTTTTGTTTGTTTTTGGGTTTTTTTTGGAGAAGGAGTCTTGCTTTGTCACCCAGGCTGAAGTCCAGTGGCACGATCTCGGCTCATTGCAACCTCCGCCTCCCAGGTTCAAGCAATTCTCCTGCCTCAGCCTCCTGAGTAGCTGGGATTACAGACGTGCGCCATCATGCCCAGCTAATTTTTGTATTTTTAGTAGAGATGGAGTTTTGCTTTGTTGGCCAGGCTGGTCTCGATCTCCTGACCTCAGGTGATCCGCCTGCCTTAGCCTCCCAAAGTGCTGGGATTACAGGCATGAGCCACAGCACCCTGCCAAATAAGATCCTTTTTTAGAAAAATTTGAAAAAAGCTTCATATCTTTACAAACTCACAAAGTAGCTGATTGGGCCATGGGGGAGATGAGGCTTTTCAGAACTGGTTTTGTTTCAAGTTTGTCAATTTTCCGTGTGTGAGAACTTGGGCAGAGCACAAAGAAACATACAGTGCTAGTAATAGGTCTCCTGAGCTCTGGAACTGTTTGGAGGAGGACTAAAGCACGGGGGAGCTGAGTACAAAATAATTCCACTAAAATCACCTCCTCAGTCCCCAGAAGGCTGATGGTGGATCCTCTGGCCGTCTCCTGTGGGTTCTTCCTGCTCCTCTGCCATTTCTCTATGCCTGAAGACACGAAGATGATATCAAGGCAGAGCTCCCATATCGCAGCCAGTCTCTGGGCCACTGCTGTGCAGTGGCTCCCACTTTCTAATGCTTTTTTGTTTTTGCTTTTTCTAACAAAACAATCTTTTTTTAAAATGAATTCCAACCCCTGCTAGCCTCCTTCCCCGCCTCCATACTGTTTTAGGCAGCACCGTTTATGTGACAGAGTCTGTGTTTCTCAAATGCATGGTGTTCCTCAGGTGGAGAGTGGGCAGAAGTTTTTGCAACACTTTTTTTTAAGTTATTGGGTGCAAAATCCCAGACCAGGATATGTGTATGTCTGTGTATTTATGTTTTTTCTTATTTGACCCTCCCCTCTTTCAACCTTCCCCCTTTTATATCTAATGTAGAAAAAGCGAAACTGAATCTGGAAAGCAAATTGTTGTATATAGTTGCGGTAACAATCATGAAGAGAGAGCTGGGCTGTCCCCTTAGTAATTCATTTTAGATAACACATTATTTAAAAATAAAATTCATGCCAGAGCCAGCTGAAGAGGCCTTCCTTCATCACCACTGAGGCCACCCCGATCTGGGCCCTCTGTCCTTCTGGCATGTCTCCTCCCAGCAAGATTCATCTGTTCAATGCCATTTGCGTTTCAATAAAGTTATCTCCTGTATTGTCCACTGGTTCTCTAGCTCCCTCTCTGCCTGGTTTCTGTCTCCATTTATCTTGTAGCCCATTCCTTGATTGGCAAGGCCAGACTGCTTGTGGTCATTTGCCTAAACCAGAAGTAACCGGAAATCCTAAGCTAGAGTCTCCTGACTCCCTTGGTTGGGGGTGGGAGGAACCCCTGCTCACACATTATGGACATAGAATCCTTCACCAGAACTGAAAACATCCAGCCCAAACATCAAGGCTCTGGAGTCTTCCATCTGGGTTGCTGCACTGTTTGAAAACATACCACCCTCTGGACTTTGCTAAATGTTCTTCTTGGGGTAAAAGTGAACTGACCTATTAGAAGCTGTTGTAATCAAGTTCAGCTTCTCTTGGCCACTTCAAAAAGGTAAATAAGTCTTACTATTCCCCATCGCAGAAGTGAAGGGTCCAAGAAGCAATCTTTTCCCTATGAAATTGTAGTAACATAACTCATCTGTGCCCTCTTAACATGGGAGGTGAGAAGTGTGTTGAGAACTCTCTTCAAGCCAGTTGCAGTGGGTGTACCTGTAGTTCTAGCTACTATGGAGGCTGAGGTGGGAAGATCACCTATCCAGCCTGGGCAACAAAGCAAGACACCCCCCGCCCCCCGCAACTCAAAAACAAATAAATAAATAAATTGAGAAAGCCTTCTGAAATAATCTTCTGATGAGATGACTTAATCCCTGATTGTTACCAGTCTAGCATCCACAGTCTTGGAAGTGACCTAGGAATTGGTAACTGGTTTCCTTTGCCATGTGAGAATGAATTCACTTGATAAGCGTTCCTGGGAACCATTTTGAAGGCACATAACCTGAACAGCTCACCAAAAGATACCTGTTCCTGTTTGCTCTAGACCCTCCCATTCCAATGACATTCTATCCTTTCTGCCACTACATGCTTGCCACTCTGCCCTGAATTTTTTTTTTTTAATTTTAATTTTTTTAATAGACAGAGTCTTTATATACTTGCCCAGACAGGAATGCAGTAGCTATTCACAGGCGTGATGACAACACACTCACACTACAGCCTGGAACTCCTGGGCTCAAGTGATCCTCCTGCCTTGGCTTACATCTTGCTTTTTTTTTCTTTTTTTCTGAGACAAGATGTCACTCTGTTGCCCAGGCTGGAGTGCAGTGGCACAATCACTGCTCACTGCAGCCTCCTCCTCCTGGGCTCAAGTGATCTTCCCAACTCCACCTCCCGAATAGCCGGGACTATAGGGCTCACGCCACCACACCTGGGCAATTTTTGTATTTTTTGTAGAGACGAAGTCTCGCTATATTGCCCAGGCTGTTCTCGAACTCCTGGGCTCAAGCAATCCTCCTGCCTCGGCCTCCCAAAGTGCTAGGATTAGAGGCGTGAGCCACTGCGCCTGGCCACATCCCGCATTTTTAACGCCTCTCTGGAGCGCTCATCCTCTCCACCTGCTCCACTATTTAGGAGCAGCTCTGCAACGTGGGCCATTTCCTACGACCAGCCGCTGACAACCGTATCGTCAAACTGCTCTTGTTCTCGCACGCTTAAACATCCAGCCATAACTTCTCAGGGGAAAAAAATGTATACGTTTTCAACAAATAGGATTCATTCTCACATAGTCACATACAGCACTCACTCTGGAGGAAACTCCCTTTCACATGCCTGTGTCTCCCCTGCCCAGCCACTTCCCAGCTTTTTTTTTTTTTTTTTTTTTAGACGGAGTCTAGCTCTGTCGCCTAGGCTGGAGTGCAGTGGCCGGATCTCAGCTCACTACAAGCTCCGCCTCCCGGGTTCACGCCATTCTCCTGCCTCAGCCTCCCGGTAGCTGGGACTACAGGCGCCCGCCACCTCGCCCGGCTATGTATTTTTTTTTTTTAGTAGAGACGGGGTTTCACTGTGTTAGCCAGGATGGTCTCGATCTCCTGACCTCGTGATCCGCCCGTCTCGGCCTCCCAAAGTGCTGGGATTACAGGCTTGAGCCACTGCGCCCGGCCACACTTCCCAGCTTTGAGGTTGGGCTCATCTACGCTGGAAAACCAAGGAACTGGGCCGTTGTTTTCCCACTTCCACTTCCTAGTTTGCTTTAGTTTATTTTCCCCCCTCTTTGGATTCCTGAGGCTAAGATGAAGAGAGTTACTTAAGCCAACTTTTTTTCAGTGTTTGGAGGGAAAAGATTGCGGTTTAAAATAGGAGCTATTTGTGACCCAGACCCCTCTCCTTAAAGCCCTCTACATCCATTCCCATCCCGCCTCCTCTCTCCTAACACCTGAAAGATGCATGAATATAAAGTCATATATCATGAACTTTATTCCAAATGAGATTTCTAACTTACTGTGCAACTTTAGGAAAGCCCCTTAACCTGTCTGGGGCTCAGTTTTCATGTAAATCCAGTGATCCTTGCAGAGAAAGGTGCAGTTCTCGTTCAGGCAGCAGGAGGCGCTGTCTCTGGAGGCTTAGATTCATTCCCCGCCCTCCGCCCGCTCCCGCCCGCCTCTGGTGCGCAGGCGCGGCTTCGCGGATTGGCCGCGCGCAGGGGCCGTCATTCGGTGGCGGGTCCCGGCCGCGGGGCTGGCGGGCTGAGGGGAGAAAAGATGGCGGCGGCGGCGGCAGCTGGTGCGGCCTCCGGGCTGCCGGGTCCAGTGGCACAAGGATTGAAGGAGGCGTTAGTGGATACGCTCACCGGGATCCTATCCCCAGTACAGGAGGTGCGGGCGGCTGCTGAAGAACAGATTAAGGTGCTGGAGGTGACGGAGGGTGAGTGAGGCGGGACCGTCACGAGGATGGCTCAGCCGCACAATCCGCTGACCGCAGCTCCGTACCGGCAGGGGACATGGGGAGCCTGAGCCAGTTGGAGATCTGGGCGCCGAGAAGTGGAGCAGGAAGCGAGAAGTTGATGTCGCTGGTGGTTGTGAAAGTCCCAGAGAGGAGAGGCGCGCCTGAAGGATAGGGTCGGGGGAGGTGGAGCCTGGGAGTGGGGGAGGGAGGGGGGGGACTTGAAAAGATAGATGGAGCCTAGAATCTGCAGGGAACGGAGATGGAGCTAGACTTGGTGCTGTTGGAGGAAGTAGCACGGTCGAGGAAATATTTTCTGAGTCTAGGACCAAGGTATTTTGCTGTTCTCTTCACCAGCTCGATTGTACTGGGATAAGAGTAGGGGGAGCTATTAGTAGAAGTGGTGAAGGGTAGGGCCTCGAGAAGGCGGCTATCAAAGCTTAATGTCATCAAACAAGTTTCTGCCCTTGAGTTATAAACCTAGCCGGTTGGTTGTACTCTTCATGTTTTCCCAGAAATTAAATGCATATGCGACTGCTTCACTGTCCTGACCGTACTTCCGTTTATTTTAAAAATAATTTGCCCTTATTAAATACCTTTGTGCATTTCTATTTGGAGGAACTGATCCTCCTTTGTTTTTGATTCTTTGTCTCCATCCTTTATTGTGTGCTTTAAAGTGATGGAGAAGAAAATAAACTGTTGGTTCGAGATTTCCTATCAATTTCCTGCCGAGTGAGCCTTTCACCAGGTCCAGTGTAGCTACCACAAAGAACAATTTAATCTGGAAACAGGAGGAAAAATCTTCTTGGTCTTTGTGTAAGAAATATATCTCGTCAGAGCTTCAGTGGAACTCCAAATCCTCAGAATCTCCCAACTCAGGAATATTTCCACCACCACTTAAATACCACGTCAGAGATATGGGAAATTGTCCCATCACTGACATCCATCACATTCAGAACCTTGAATTAATTCTCCTACTGGACGTATTTTTATTGAAAAGAATTTAGAACAAATCGCTCTTAAATTTAGTTTACATTCTCTCACAGTATGAAAGAGCTGTTGAAAACAAATTTTCTTCTATTGGAAATATGTTGAGATTTGGGATCTAACAGGCTAAGGACCATTTTGAAGGCCCAGTTGTAATTGTCATTGTTTTATAAAATATCAGATCTACAAGAGGAGAAACCACTGCTTAGGAGAAAGCTGTTTGAGAACCATGTGTAAACTAAAAGAGTTTTTATCGGCTTCTAAGTAACATTCCTTTATGCACATTAATGTCTGTCTCCTTTGAGTATGAGGAAGGAAGAGTGGCAAAGCAAAGGAACCTCATCACATTCAAGTTACCACCTGAATAAAACTGAGAGTCTGGTGCAAATTCATCCCAACTAAACCTTCCCTGAGTGGTACCCAGTACTCCCGGTGCTCCAAATACATGTCTGGCGCTTTGTATGAAAGGTGGACCTTGACTCGTATTTAAACTGTCTTACAGCAACTCTACTTTTGCTCTGATCTTTTCAACTTTAGCCAAATGCCATGGTCTCATCTAGGCAAAGTCAGTTATAAAGTTCTCGAGGTCTTTTTTGAAACTCTGATTCCTCGCTGTATTCATCTTTTTTTTTTCCTTGAGACTGGGTCTTACTCTATCTTGTAGACTTTGGTGCAGTGATGCCATCATGGCAGCCTCAAACTTCTGGACTCAAGCGATCCTCCCACCTAGGCCTCCCAAAGTGCTGGGATTACAGGCCTGAGCCACCACACCTGGCTTTTTTTTTTAGCCTTCAAGGGAAAAATTAAATTTCAAAAGTACAGAATTTTGATCTAAGTCACTGATGAGAATTGATCGACCGACCCCCATAACTTACTGGTAATGTGTTGTTGGGCAGACTGTGAGAATGAAAAGTATGGAAAGACATTGATGCAGTGACCTGATATTGGTCGTCTAGTAATAAAGCATATGACTCAGGTTTTGGATGTGGTTAGAGGGTTGGATCAGTCTCTGGAGTTTAGTGCAGTGCTTTAGACCCTTTGGAGGCTGCTTGTGTCTTTTAAGTAGTCTGGCTCCTTATGTTTATCAAAAATACTATATAGAGATTTACCCACTTCTGTACCTGTTTTTAGGTGGAGAATAGTGGTCCATTCCTCAGATGCAGTCTGCTTTCTTCCTCTTGTGGCCTTTAACAAGTTATCTTTGACATTGGGTTCAGAGTACCTCCCACCTTACACTCCGTCTGAATCTCTCAGGTTTTTTCTGAACATGGTGTAATATAGTAGCTTCTTGTTCACCACCCTCAACCCTTCTTTGCATGAAAACATAGCACCCAGCTTTCCAGCCGGGATTTAGCCAACTATCTGGCCCGATGAAACTGGCAGGACATTGTTCCTCCTATTAGAATGCCCTACAGAGCAAGATGAGCCATTCTTGCAAACAAATGGACAAACTGCTTTCCACTCCTTTGGTGTTGCTTCACATTTTAGTGTTTTTTGGTTTTGTTGTTGTTATTGTTTTGAGACGGAGTCTCACTCTGTCACCCAGGCTGGAGTGCAGTGGTGCAACCTCAGCTTACCACAACCTCCACCTCCTGGGTTCAAGCGATTCTCCTGCCTTAGCCTCCCAAGTAGCTGGGATTACAGGCGCTTGCCACCACGCTTGGCTGATTTTTGTATTTTTAGTAGAGACGAGGTTTCACCATGTTGGCCAGGCTCTCTCGAACTCCTGACCTCAGGTGATCCACCTGCCTCAGCCTCCCAAAGTGCTGGGATTACATCCGTGAGCCACTGTACCCAGCCCACATTTTAGTTTTATCCTAGTAGAAGGAACCTTTTTTCCGGTTCTAGGAAACAACTTTTTTTTTTCTTTGAGACGGCGTTTCACTCTGTGGCCCAGGCTGGAGTGCCGTGGCATGATCTCTGCTCACTATAACCTCTACCTCCCAGGGTCAAGCGATTCTCATGCCTCAGCCTCCCAAGTAGCTGGGATTACAGGCATGCACTACCATGCCTAGCTAATTTTTGTATTTTTAGTAGAGGCGGGGTTTAGCCATGTTGCCCAGGCTGGTCTTGAACTCCTGAGCTCAAGCAGTCTGCCCACCTCGGCCTCCCAAAGTGCTGAGATTACAGGCATGAGCCAACCTGCCAGGCCGGAAACACTCTTAAGACTTGAAGTTAATGAGAAATGTGGGATTTGGTGTCTTTTGTGTTCTGATAATCTTTTGATCCTTTTTTGGTTCCACGGGGCCCAGGATCAGGTGACAACCAGATTTAGTCCCTCTGTCTTCTCAAATAACCGCACTGTCTTTATGAGCTGTTTATTAGTCCATCTCATAGGAGACTGATCCCACATGGTCCTTAAGATTAACAGGTCTGTTCCCTTTGCCAAAAAGATTTGTTACCTTCCTTGGCTACTAGGTGATGATCCCTAGTCTTGAAGATTAAACGGAAGAATCTCTAATTTGTGGGGAAGGGGCACAGGTCAATTGTCAACTCCCTGTGAAAAGGACAGGCAAGAGAAGTTGACATGCTGTGACCAAATTGTACTATGGATGAGATTTTAAGAAGCAGTTATCTTAGAAAATAAAGGTTGCTGGAGCCTAGAGTAGTCTTGATCATTTAGTGTACCAGCTGATATTTTCTGATAAATAAATTGCCTATAATTAATTATCACATTTTCCAGAATGGGCACCTGTTCTCTTAAGCCAAGGATGTGTGTGTATGTGAGAGATCCACTTATTTCATGTAGTGTGTCAATCTGAAAAGGATAAGAGGTAACTTCATCAGCCTGGTGTCCTGGAATGATTTTTTTTTTTTTTTTTTTTGAGACGGAGTCTCGCTCTGTCACCCAGGCTGGAGTGCATTGGCACGATCTCAGCTCTCAGCTCACTGAAACCTCCAGCTCCTAGGTTCAAGTGATTCTCCTGCCTAAGCCTCCCAAGTAGCTAAGATTATAGGCATGTACCACCATGCCAGGCTAATTTTTGTATTTTTAGTAGAGATGGACTTTTGCCATGTTAGCCAGGCTGGTCTCGAACTCCTGACCTCAGGTGATCAACCCACCTTGCCCTCCCAAAGTGCTAGAATTACAGGCGTGAGCCACTGTGCCCTGCCGGAATGATTTTCTTGAGCCCCTGTGCTTGCTATTTTTGCTAGTCACTTGGAATCTGGAAGAAACCCAGCAAACTTCTCTGAATATTTAAAGTCTATTTAACAGGGCTGATTAGATAAGGAGATGATGTCAGTAACCACCTGCATCAGATAGCACTCCCATCCTGAATTGAGGAGAACATTGCTTGAAAGTCTGGAAGTTATTATGATGTACAGTATTCTGCAGGTAATTGTTAACCTATCATTTTTATTTTTTTCTTTCTTTTTTTTTTATTTAAGATACAGAGTTTTGCTTTGTCACCCAGGCTAGAGTGCAGTGGTGTGATCATAGCTTACTGTAGAATCTAACTCCTGAGCTCACACAATCCTCTTACCTCAGCCTCCCAAGTGGCTGTGACTACAAGCACATGCCCATACTTGGCTGATTTTTTAAATTTTTGTCTGGAGATGGGGTTCTTGCTGTGTTGACCAGGCTGGTCTTGAACTCCTGCCCTCAAGTCATCCTCCCAAAGTGCTGTGATTATAGGCATGAGCAACCACAACTGGCCCCTTTCATTTTTCTTAGGAGGATTGAGATGTTGAGTTTGATCAGGTTTGTAGGAAATTTACTTCTACCTAAATACGGTAAAACATTTTTTTAAAAAAGTTTTTTTATTCGTTAGAGACTTTTTTCTTTTTTCTTTTTTTTTGTTCCACTGCTAAGAGTCTAAAGCATGCTTTCTAATTCTGTTTTGTTTAATAGGAAGGTTCATATTAAGCACTTTACGAACATAGTAGTTAAAAAGACTGGAGAGGTTATGAACCACCGAAGACCTCTTACGTCAAAGTCTCATATTCTGTACTCAGCTTCATCAACTCTTTCTTTTGTTTTTGTCTAACTTACAGTGAGATAATGAGAATTACCATCTTTTGAGAATGTCAGTCTTTTATTTTTGGTGTATTTGTGCTTTTTTTTTAATATCTTAGAATGAAGTTCTTTCCCTCTTTTTCTTCTTCTTTATCTACTTTGCCTCTAAGAATGGCATTACCCAAGTGGTGGAATTGGTTGCTTTCATTCAGAACCTTTAACTCTTCGTGCCAGCATGCACAGACTTTCTTACATAACTAGATTTAAACCCTAGGTCATTTTCTTCTTTACTTCTTTTTTGCCTATTACAAATGACAACATTTCCTCTATCATTTGGCCTTGTCTAGTTAGTTCCCGGTAGATAAGTCACAGAGAATACATTTTTCTTCCCTTCTACCACCATTATGTTGAACAGGGGAGGGGGGGAAATTCTCTCTCCCTCACCTTTCCTGGCATTCAGATGCTGCCTAGATATCTGTATTGATTTCTCCATCTTAGATGCCTAGAGAGATGATCCTGCTGGCTGGAAGTTTGCTTTCTGGTTCTCATGGGCACTTTTCTGGCTCTTTTGCAGTATAGCGTAAGCACTGTCCACCTGCGAAGGGCGCCCCTCAAGGATCCAGACGCACTCCTGGGCATGTGGCGGGCACTGAGCCGAGCGGAAGGCGGCCACGCTCGGAAAAAGGCCAGTGGTGGAGTTTTCTTTTTCCTTTCAGCTGTGGTTTTGTGGTGCTTACCAACCCCCATTGAGAAATAGGGAGCTTGTCCAGGGGTCTACTCAAAACCCCATCCTTCTCCAACAATCCCTGTTCACAATTGTCACTAGTTGACTGTCAAAGTACTGCCAAGTCTTGTCTCTCTAGGAGACCCTTCAGACCAATAAGTGTGTATTTCGTAACTGATCCTTTATCCTCCATGCCTTCCTTTGGATTTTCCCTTCTAAACCAAGTTTTAGATAGATAATGTTTTTGCCACATGGGGTGATAAGAGAGAAAGGGGAGCAAGGATAACGAGAGGGAAGCAAAAGACTAAAAGAGAATGAGACTAGAGAATGAAAGAGGGCAAGAGGATTTCTTAGAAGGGAAGTCAAATGATGCCATTTTGGATAGATGTAAAGGTATAATTGAGGAGAATCTAGAGTCAGGGTGAAAACCCAGATTAACAGAATGAACTGTCCTTATTTCACCGTGAGAAAGGGAACTAGAGAAATTAAATTTCCTAACAAAAATAGCTTTAGAAAGCAACTTCATATAGCCCTCTTGGCAGTGTTGCCCTTTGGCTCAACTTCAATCTTAGTTTAATCTTAAACAGTCTTTTCCAAGCAAAGCAAAATAAAGTGGATATGTGTGTCTGTGTTTCTTATATTCTCCCTGCCTTTATTATCCCAGAGTAAGTTATTAGGCTATTCTTTCTCTCATAAATATATATGTATATATATTTTTATTTTTTATTTTTTATTTTTTTATTTTTTATTTTTTGAGATGGAGTCTCACTGTGTCGCCCAGGCTGGAGTGCAGTGGCGCAAACTCGGCTCACTGCAAGCTCCACCTCCCGGGTTCACGCCATTCTGTCTCAGCCTCCCAAGTAGCTGGGACTACAGGCGCCCGCCACACGCCTGGCTAATTTTTTGTATTTTTAGTAGAGACGGGGCTTCACCGTGTTAGCCAGGATGGTCTCAATCTCCTGACCTCATGATCTGCCAACCTTGGCCTCCCAGAGTGCTGGGATTACAGGCGTGAGCCACTGCGCCCGGCCTCTTTCTCATATTTTTAAAGACATTATGTTAAAGACACCAATCAGTAAAACCAGAAGTCCCCCAATGCGCACACACAGACACACACACACACAAGTACTTTTTTTTAACAGATATACTTAGTTGTATTTCAAAAAATATTGTGTCTCTGTTAAGTGAAAAATGTGTAAGTAGGGTTTTGCTACTTAACAGAAACCAATGGATAGGCGCAAATGTGTTAATCAGATTTAAAGTAAGGCAGAAAGCTTTAGGACTATTTTCTAGCTTTTCCTTCTTTGCATTAGTTTGTTTCTTAGTTTGTTTTTTGAGACAAGATCTCGCTCTGTCATCCAGGCTGGAGTGCAGTGGTATGATCATAGCTCACTGCAGCCTCAAACTCCTGGGCTCAAGTGATCCTTCCATGTTAGCCTCCTGAGTAGCTGGGACTACAGGTGCACATCACCACACCCAGCTAATTTTGCATCAGTTTTATAGCACAGAGTTTACCATCAACATCATACTCCTTGGAAGCATTTATATAGCTTTTAAATAAACTAACGTTTTATGGGTACGACAGTCTCAAATGGTGAGTGATATCGTTGTATTTCTAGTAGGTCTGTCGTCTAGACAGACTGAATTGGGTTAAGTAAAATAATTTTGTATTTTCCATCTTTCATCCCCCTATAACCTAATGCAAATAAACTCTTTGTCTTTGAATTTTTGAGGCTTCAAAACATGTGGTCATGTTGGACATGTGGTCATAATGGACATGTGGTCATAATTTTTGAAACTCTAGAGGTCTATAGAGAAGAAAATCTGTTCGTCTATTTTATTTTAAAATTTGTCTTTAGTTAACAATGATGTTATTTGAAGATTTTCTTTGCCTTTATTTATCTGCTTTTGAGCAAATATATATGTTACTTGAACTTTAATGCTGGTTCTTTCATGTGTGAAACAATTAGCTTTTAGAAGGAATCCATCTTAAAATACTTGTTGTAGGTACAGATCCCTTGGTTAACTTGGGTTTTTGGCCCCTGCGTGGGTCTTAATCTTCTGATCTCTTATTCTCACCATCCTTTCCAGTCTCAGTGATATGTGAAGCAAGGTGGTTAGTGGAATTTTGTGTATGATCTTTGATAGGTTACCAGACATGATTAACTTACTGTATTGGAGTGAAGAGCTTCTGGCTATTGTGATCATCACTGGAGTGCATCCTTCTGGCAGGGATATGGAAAAAATGATATATCAATGCTAAGCTTTTCTCTGAAGAGAATAGACTTGGAATTCTCTGGTTGATGAGAAAGGGCCCCTAAACTGTGACAGGACCTGTGTGTAAAGTTTGCCTGGTCTTCATGCTCTAATGACTCCTGTGGATCAGTGCCAGAGTGAACTGTTGGAAAATGTGAGGTTCTTTTTCCCTTATGTGAGCTATGAGCCTCAGTATTACCCTACAACTATCTATCAGTGCTTTCATTGGAAGGACAGTTGTTCAGATTTGTTTAAGCTTTATAAAGTCTTAAGTTTCAAACTTTTCTCAAAAAGTCTCATTCCTCAGTATCTTTTCACACTGTATGTTGAAAAATTTCTTCATTTTGATCTTGTTTTAGTTTGTCCCTGTAGTAATGATCCAAAAATTATGCTTTTGCTAGGAACATTAAAAATCCAAATCATAATGACCTATGGAAAAATTATTTAAATAGTGCCTTAAAAGAAAATACCAGGCCAGGCGCCGTGGCTCACGCCTGTAATCCCAGCACTTCGGGAGGCCGAGGCGGGCGGATCACCTGAGGTTGGGAGTTCAAGACCAGCGTGACCAACATGGAGAAACCCCATCTCTACTAAAAATACAAAATTAGCTGGTCATGGTGGTATATGCCTGTAATTCCAGCTACTCGGGAGGCTGAGGCAGGAGAATCACTTGAACCCGGGAGGTGGAGGTTGCGGTGAGCCAAGATTGCGCCATTGTACTCCAGCCTAGGCAACAAGAGTGAAACTCCATCTTAAAAAAAAAAAAAAATACTGTATGTCCCAGGTAATTTGTGAATGTGCTTGTATATCATTGTGAAGGAAGTTACATAAGGCACACCAGAATTGGTTCACCATGTCTAGAGAGGCCAATCCTGGGTGGACAGTGACATTCTAAGCAGACTTGAGGCCATGAAGTTAGCATCCATTATCACACTAAGTATCTGAACTCAAAGGAATTATGGATGGCCTTAGTAGTTGTCTTTCTCCTTTAAATGGATATCACATGTGCATTTTAGAGTGCTTTTTTCCATTGAACTTGAACGTCAGCATCTAAGAGATCTTCCTGAATTATCTGACTCATCTGTGTTTTAGAATCAGTTCTGAAAGTTGACTCCCATATCTTCGGGTCGTAGACACTTATTGTTTCTTCTCTTGCTACAAATAGATTTTATAGATTTAACCAGAATCTGTACTAACCAAATTAATCCTAGGAATTAGAATGGATTGCATTCTCTGTAGGGGGATTGTGCAAGTTTCAAGTGTTTGCTTGTGATTTAATCATTTAATAACTCAGAAAGAATGTGGCTTCTTCTGTGGTGGTCATGCAAAAAAAAAAAAAAAAAAAAAAAATCCACTTTCCTGAGTGAAATGATAGGTGCCATAGGAGTGGATCAAAAACTGCAGCTTAAAGGCATAATAAGAATAAGTTAAGAATCTAAGAATTCAGTAAAATAACAGGAAATAAAATATAAAAATCAATAGCTTTCACATAAACAAACCATAAAAGGATAGAGGACGTAATGTTTTTTTAATAACCAAAACCATTTACAATATCAACAAAAAAGTAAATGCTTAGGAAATGTGTAAGAACCTATTAGAGGAAACCTTTTTTTTTTTTTTTTGAGATGGAGCCTTGCTCTGTTACCCAGGCTGGAGTGCAGTGGCATGATCTTGGCTCACTGCAACCTCTGCCTCCTGGGGGGTTCTCCTGCCTCAGCCTCCCGAGTAGCTGGGACTACAGGCACCTGCCACCACGCCCGGCTAATTTTTGTATTTTTAGTAGAGATGGGGTTTCACCATGTTGGCCAAGCTGGTCTTGAACTCCTGACCGCAGGTGATCCACCTGTCTTGGGCTCCCAAAGTGTTGGGATTACAGGCGTGAGCCACCGTGCCCAGCCTAGAGGAAACTTTTTGAGACAAGGTTTTGTTATGTCACCCATGCTGGAGTGCAGTGGCTTAGTCTCAGCTCACTGCAACGTCTGCCTCTTAGGCCCAAGTAATTGTCGTTCCTCAGCCTCCCAAGTAGCTGGGACTGCAGTCACACAACACCATGCCCAGCTAATTTTTGTATTTTTGGTAGAGACAGGGTTTCACCATGTTGCCCAGGCTGGTCTCAAAGGCCTGAGCTCATGCAATCTGCCTACCTCTGTCTTCCAAGACATAAAATCAGATGCGAACAAGTGGAAAAACATACTCTGTGACTGGACAGGACAACTCAGCATAATAGATGAGCTAGACAAGTTGGTTCTAAAGTTCATGTAGAAAAACAGACAGGGAAGAATAGCTCCAAAAACACTGAAAAAGGAAAACTACAAGAGGGAACTTGTTCTATCAGACATTTAAACATTACATAAAACCTGTGTAATTAAAACAAACAGTGCAGCACTGTACTCAAATAGAACTGTGGAATAGAAGAGAAAATCCAGAAATAGATACAAGTGCCCATGGAAATTGAACATAGATGAAGGTAGTATCTCCAATCACTAGAGGTGGACATTTTAACAAAGAATGCTGCGATGAGACCGGGTGCGGTGGCTCACGCCTGTAATCCCAGCACTTTGGGAGGCCAAAGCGGGCAAATCACAAGGTCAGGAGATCAAGACCATCCTGGCTACACAGTGAAACCCTGTCTCTGCTAAAAATACAAAAAATTAGCTGCGTGTGGTGGTGGGCGCCTGTAGTCCCAGCTACTCTGGAGACAGGCA